CCGGCCCCTGTGACCGGGCCGCTCGAGGGCCTCCGCGGCGCTGCAGTCTCCGCTGCTCGGACGTCCTCGGCACGGAATGGGCGAGGGCCCGACCGCGCGACCCGTCCGCAGCTGGCTCCAACTATCAGTCATTCTGTGCCCCGGAGCTCCGAGCCGGGCCAGCTCCACGGCCGGCCGGGCGCCCCTCAGGTCAGCTCCACGAACCGCCGGCAGGGCCGAGCTGGGGCCAGTATGTCAGTCACCGGCTCCACGCAGACGAGAGGCAGTGGCACCTGGCGTGGACGTCCACGCTGCCAGCGACGCTGCGTTCCCAGAATCGACATCGACGGCCGGGCCCCGCCCGCGGCGTGGGCCGCCGGCTGGTAATCGCGTTGTCGACCGCCGGTCGCCGGAATACTGTCGTCACTTTTGCGCTGTGCGAGTGCACACGGAATGGAATTGCCAACAGTGCACAATGGCATTGCCACTGCTGCGTCCTCACACGGCGTGGGGTCCGGGCCAAGGCCGAAACCGCGAAATTACGGCAGTGTAAGGGAAGTCACAGCAAAAGACAGGGACGCAGGAGGACGTGTTGCTTTTTTGCTGCATGCAAACTCCTAACAAGGCTTGTTTTGTTTTCGATAGAACCAACCCTTTGTCATAAGAGTTGGGTGGGACTTGTGCCACATAGTGTAGCGAGCATTATGGCGATGCTTTAGTCCATTGCGGCACGGCGCTGTCAAAAAGAGAAAACAAAAGAAGGGACGAATTACCAGCCTTTCTTCCACCGTGCGTTTGTCCGCTGGGCAACAACACCACTTTCTGAGATAACCCTTTGACCTGGAAAAAAGGATATATGCATAGCTTTTTGTGGGCCCATTTCGTTAATGCGCAAGAGCAATGTGGCCGTGCACAAGTGACGACACATCAATGAGCACGTTGATTAAGATCACGAAAACATTCATGTGTGCTCTTTCGTTCTTTTACTGCACATGGGTTGGAGCTTTTTTCTCACATGATCGCCGTTGGTTGTGCTGGATGACGTGTATGGAATGTCTTAGTTTAGTTGATCTGTCCGTCGGCACCGGACTGGACTGCAGCTCAACACGTTCAACACGCAGGCCTGGATGTCGATCTGATCGTTAAGCTACCAGGTAGGGCGCTGCACTGGTTCCGCCGCGTATGCTAGAGATAGGCCGCCTGCGCCGTCAGTATGAAGCGAGCAGGTAGCGTCTGCGGCAGCTCGCCGATCCGAACGGTCGAATAGATGTGTGCGACCCAGGCTGCATCTATTAGCACATGGGATCTGCGTCCCACTCGCCGTGATCGTGCGGCGTAGTGTTCGTGACAAGGTGGCCAGACAGCGACGCCAAGTTGGCGCCCGCGCAAGGTGTGTGCTCTGTGACGTCCCTGTGGCCAGGGAGGTGCGTTCTCGTTTGGTGCTCCCCGTTGTTATCGCAATGGCTGCTGCTCTCGCTGGCTTCCATGCTGGGCGGAAAGGGGCAGCAGAGTCAGAGGCGTCGCCAGTGGAGGCAGGGAGTATTGCTCCCCCGCTCCTGAAGAATGGTTCGATCTCCCAAATCAGTGCCCCCTCCCCGCCCCCCTGTCAGTTTGCTTCCCCTTCCCGGAGCATTCGCATGTCCTCCCTGGCGTCAAAGTGTGGCGACACCTCTGGGCAGACGATTTAGCGATTGATCGATTCCTTGTCGGCTCCTCCTTTGATTTCCCCCATTTCTTGATTCCAGTTATATTCAACTGTTTTCTATGATAAAGTTGTCTTTTTTTTATCCGCCCAAATGGGCGGGGACATCGCACAACAGAACAGGCTACGAACGACACATGACACGTGAATACGAACTTGTCACTTCGACATCTCTACCATCTTCAGCTGGGTCAGGTGGTAATACCTCTCGGCCAGACAGGCCACAAATGCTCCTAAAGTTAATTTGTGTACGATGCTTGAATTTCTCCTAAATAATGGCCAAATCACGTTGCTTTGCTCAGATGTCTGTGGCAAACTAAACGCCGACAACATGGAACCTGTTGCGCTGTTTCCAGATACTATCTTGTAACACTAAAGTGCTTATCAATTCGGCAATACCAGTACGATAATCATGTGCCGGTTGCACACGGTAAGTATAACCCAGACAGAAATGAGCTGCAGCTGGGGGCGCTCGCACGCCACATTGTTTCAAACACAACTCTTGTGCGTTTTCAATCGACCAGTTTTTGATGAACGTCACCCAAAAGAATTATGGCGTGTATACTTGTTTTCGTCATTTGGTAGCATATGCCTGTTCCGCCGCCGGCCACTGACATGCACCGTCTACGTTTCAGACGAGCAGGAGCGCGTGCAGAAGAAAACCTTCCTCAACTGGATCAACTCGTACCTGAAGAAGGTAGGCCGGCCGGCAGCCACAGACCGTCCCAGCTGTCCTAGTGCTGAGGCGCAGCGTGCGGTCGTGGGCCGCGGGCGGGCTCAGCTGGCTCCAGCTTGCCGTATGCGCAGCTGGGCCCGTCGCGAGTCTCAGTCCGCCGCCCGCCACTCGTTTCGGACGGGACGCAACAGGGCCATGTGCTGGGACCTGTGCTTTGATGGGTCGGAAGTGGTGTAGCCCAGGCTTACACGGGTTTGGAGCGCGGCCAGGCGTGGAGGGGAGACGCGTTGGGCACGACGTACGGCGCTGACACACGTGCGGCGGGGCGGAGCGGGAATCGATACGCCGCGCGTCCCGCCCGCCGACAAGACAGGACCGGGTCGTCCGACGGCCACCTGCGTGGCGTGAGAGTGCCGTCATCGGAGCTCAGCTAGATGGATGTTGGACCGGCCGAATTAATTATCCACGCGGTGCTTGCGTTTTTAACTCCGTTTAATTACGGGCTCCTGATATTCCAGAGCTCCGTTTGATGCCTTGCATGTCCGTCATCGTCATAACGCCGAGCCCCCCCCCCCCCCCCCAACATTCATCCGTAAACACAAAGTCGTCGCCCGCGCGGCGAAACACGCTGCAAATGAGCCGCGGCAGCGTAAGCAAGCTGGGCGCCGGGATCGCAGGGTCACCGCGGACAGGTGCGGCCGCGCGTTTGGTGCGGCTCGGCCGCTGGGCTCGGCTCACGCGCCGGGCTCTGCCCGAGTTTGATGGATGGGCGGCGGTGGCGGCGGCGGGACGGGCGTCGCCTGATTAACGGCTCGGCCACGACTTCCCGGCCGGTGGCCCGCTGACCGGCGGCGGCGGCGCCGGCGGCCGGCGTATTTCAGGCGCTGGCAGCCGGCCCGCCGCCGGTCGACGCCATCACGTCACCGCCGCCGATGACGCCCGATGGCATGTGACCGAGCCGGCGCCGCCGGCTGCCGGGCCAGAGCGGGCAGCCGGCGTGGGTCCTCGGCCGGCGTCATCGCGTACTGTTGACGAGTGCCGCCTCTGGAGCGGTGCTCAGTTTCATTTTCCGGTACCGTACCACTTACAATTGAATGATGCTCACGGTAGCGGTATAACATACAGATGTAGAGGGCGGTGGCGGAGGCGATACTCTGGTTGGAGTCGATGCCCTGCGGGGCGTTTCGATCACGTCCCACTATGGCACAGCGCGGTTCGGGTCGGCGCGCCTGGCACGCGGAGACAATGTCAGCTCATGACCGACACTGGGCTAGTTCCCGCGGTCCGGGCACAGCTGAAAGGGCAAGCTTGGGGCTCATGCCGGAGAAAAGCCGCCCTGTTTTGGTCAGTGGCCGGAAGCTTGCCGCGGGCTTCCCGCTGCCGACCGGGCCCCGCCGCCCCGCTCCTAGTCGGGCTCGCCCGAACGTGCAGCGATCCCCGGGATGGAGGCAGCGGCCCGTCCTCGCGGGTGGTATTTGGCGTAGCTTGCATACCTCGTACCATCCGGCCCCCATGTTCTTGGCACAGCACGGGTGGCCTGAGGTGGGCGGGCGGTGGATTGCTTTGAGCCGCGGTCAGCGCGGTGCTGCCTCGCTGTCGTTCCCATGGCCGAGGAGGTCGCTACCGACAGACTATATGTGTTATGCAGCTTTTCAGGTCCGCGAAGTTCCTCAGCTGTGGCATGACGGTGGTCATCTGTGTCCTTTTGTGCCTTGCGTATCTGCCACTTACAACCCCGAGACGCATCTCCGCTGACGCATCGCATCGCTCGCTCGCTCGCTCGCTCGCTTGCTCAGACGCACCAACGGCAACGGTGAATGATGACTGTTTGGCACTGCGAACTGCTGACTGTTGACATTGCTGCACATCGATGCATCGTAGCTGGTATGGGGTGCGCGGTATATTTCACTGATCCGTGGCGCGGTTCGCCGGCCCGACACGCCGCGACGCTAACGCCGCTGGCGAGTGGCGGGGTCGGTCGATACGCGGACGGCCATGAGGTCACAGCCGCGCCGCACCGACACTGATCCCGATGCCGGCAGCACCAGCCGCCGCTACATATGAGGAGCCTGATCGAGGACCTTAAGGACGGCTCCCGGTTGCTGGCTCTGCTGCAGGTCCTCTCCGGACAGAAGCTGGTCAGTGGCGGGCCTCCACGCGTCAGCAGGCCGTGGCGCGCTTGCGCCCGGTGACGCAGTGCGCGGGTCGCGGCGAGACGGCGGCGGCGTCCGCTCGTTCCGTCCCGCGCTGCCGCTGTGCGCGTCTGACTGGTACCACTGTCACGCATAGTGTGCGTGGAGGTATGCGGGTGCGGGTGCGGGTGCGTACGTGTACATACGTGCATACCTGCGTGCGTGCTCGCGTACTTGCGTGTGTGCGTGCGTGCGTACGTACGTGCGTGCGTGCGTGCGTGCGTGCGTGCGTGCGTGCGTGCGTGGGTGCGTGCGTGCGTGCGTGCGTGAGCGGTGCGTGGGGTCCGCCGGCGGGAGTTGTCGGCAGCTGTGGTCAGCGACAGGCGGCTGCCGTGGCGGGGGACGGACCGCGCGCTGGCGCTGACCCGCTGCGCCGTGCGTCCACAGCCGGTGGAGCGAGGTCGGGTGCTGAAGCGAGCCCACTTCCTCAGCAACGCCAACACGGCTCTGCAGTTCCTGCATAGTAAAAACGTAAGTCGGCTGCAGGGCGACCGTCTGTCGTCGCACCCGCCTGCCGTCAGGTAAGCATACCGTTGCGCCTATTTACCGTCGCGCCTGCCTACCGTCGCACCCGCCTACCGTCGCGCGCGCCTACCGGCGTGCCCGCCTACCGTCGCACCCGCCTGCCGTCGCACTTGCCTACCGTCGTGCACGCATGCCGTCGCACCCGCCTACCGTCGTGCACGCATGCCGTCAAGTGACATCGATGTGATAGCGGCGCGAGTTGTGCTCTCGCTGAACTGTAAGCGCCGCTGAACCGGTCACAAGGAAGCGACGTTAGTGCTGTGTCGCAGCTGGCCCGAACTGGTGCTCACCCAATCCAGCGAAGATTTGACGACGTTGTCTTCAAACGTGACGTCGCTGATCAGATTAAGGCATTGTGCTCATATTTAACAAATTTATGATGGCCGACAATTCTGTCCACTTGGTTTGTTTTCTTGCGTGTTTGCTTGGAGCGAAATCTTTGACGTTGGCGGTCGCCTGGTCATCATCGTGGCCTCTGTCCAGAACTCCTTAGACAAGCCATTCGACCGCTGTCAGTCAGCGACCCGCTCCGAACGGACGAGTTCGGAATCGCGGGCGCCGCGTCGCGTCACCGCCCGGAACAGCGCTGGCCCAGTCTCTAATGCGATTTGCGGAGTCGTCGAAGGGAACGCCGTGTTTAATGTTGCGATTGCCGTGTAAATCGAACAGTATGGGCGTCTTTTGCGCACCGGTTCGCCCGTTTCCGCTTGCTTTGGTATAAATGCCTTGACTGCATTAATGTGCCCGACTTTAACCAAGTTCAGGCAGATGCCATACATCTCGATGACTCAGTGCCCGTTCGTGTTTCCCGGCTCGTCGGTCCGGTCTGTTGCCGTCCTGTACCTGTCCCAGTCCCAGTTGGCCGGCCTCGGCGTCCGCTCCCCATATCTCCCCCTGTCTCCCCCCCCCCCCCCCCCGTCTCCCGCCACTGCTCGGCTTCCTCTGAGCCTGGCTCCGGCTGGGCAGCGGCCGTCGTGCGCTGAGGGCTGGCGGCACAAGCCTGTCACCGAGGCCTGGGCGGCACGGCCTCAGCCGGCGGGCTGCCGGCCGCGCGCTGTCTGAGCCTCCGCTCTCGCATGGCAGACGCTGTGCCGGTGTCGCTCATGCGACCGCGCTGGGCGGTAGCCAGACCTGCAGTATTGAAGAGTGGCTGGTATCATTTTTAAAGTAAAGTTGAAATTGCCTGTGGCCACCAGAGATTATTGTGAGGAAGACGCGGCCCCAACCCATCCCGGCCTGACGGACCGGACCCTACCTGACCTGACCTCACCCGATCTGACCCGACGTGACCTCACCGGACCCGACCTGTGGCCTGACTTGACCTGGCTCCATATAACGTATGACAGACGCACAGCTTCGTAGCCTTCGCCTTTGATGGGTGTTTTGGGCAACGGATGACGCAGTCTTCTAAATTTAAGGTACTCACTAAGGTGAGTCATTTCACATCGCGCATGCTGCATGCTGCACACGGACATTTGCCGTGCAGCGGACACAGCGAAACAACCCGCCCATTGCCGATAAGCTTAATATGCACAGCCCCCCCCCCCCCCCCCCCCCCAGCAGTAGCTTACAACTTCATGTGCACGTTGCAGGTATTACAGGTGCGGTGGTGGTGTGTAGGGTGCTGTAGCGCGCATTGGCAGCTGTTCATGCTTTTCATATACCTGCTCGCTAATGCGCCACCCACTAAGCAGAACACTTCGACTGCCGTTCAGCGGATTTTGGTAGATGGAAAACGTGCGTGTAGGCCATGGATATCGGGTGGACTGCGGCTCGATTGGCATGACAAAACAGCTCGTGTCACGGGCTGGTGTCGACTGTGCTGTGGAGCGGTTGTGCTCGCCTCAGCTGCGGGGGGGGGGGGGGGTTCTGGCCAGCCCGCGGCCACCGGCCCTCAAACTGGGCCCTGACCCGGGCCGGTACGCGAGGTGCTGATCGTCACCGCTCTGATAGCAGGAAACGTGGCCAAGAGCCCTCTCGGCGCAGATCACGGTGTCGTGGCGGAGTGCCGTTCGAAACAGTGCGTGCGTTGTTGGTATGACGGTTCAACTTCAATTCGGCGGAGTCGTGCGCATCCGAGCCCACTTCCGTTCCCAGCCAGGCTATTGGATAGATTCCGCTCACACCGGCGTCATTCACTCGACGCTGAACAGACCAGCGAACGCTACAGCCGGCCCCGCTGGAGGCTGTTGTGAGGCCGGCGCGGGGCGCCCCCGACACAGGCACGGTTGTTAGGCGGCTGCTGAGCGCTGCCGGGCGGGGCGCCGGCCGGGCGTACCCGGATTAAGCGCATGCGTGCGTGTGTGTGCCGGCGGCTGTGGCGTTTGGCGTCTCACCGGTGTCGACTGCCTGCCGCCAGATCAAGCTAGTCAACATCAACCCGTCGGACATCGTGGACGGCCGGCCGGCCGTCGTGCTCGGCCTGATCTGGACCGTCATCCTCTACTTCCAGGTGAGCTGGCTGGTTGTCTCGGTCTGTCTCATATGCTGCGCCAGGGCACTTCCGCTTTTACCGACAACTGATCCGAACGGAAAGGAAGGGGTTATGGATGTGCGTATTACGCGGTGGATAACCCGAGTGGAGGATTACGCGGCATCCCGCGCCAGGATCCAATGGCATCTGAGGCACCACCGGCTGCCTTAACCTGTAGCCTGACCTGACAATGACCTGCAGCCTCCAGACGTGCTGTCGTGTCCTTCATCTCTCGCCGCCGGCCTGTTAGCGGCTCAGCGGTTTCCAGCGGGCTAAACTGTGACGTCACGCCGCTCATCTGCCCGCCCCCTCATGTTTTCAGCGGTCTAAGTTGTGACGTCACATCGTTAATTTCTCCGCTGTTGACTCGGCCGCTCGGGCGCCGGGTGTGCGCGGCTTCAATACAGACCGCGTGACGTCACGGCAGGGCATTTAGTGGGTGCCGTTGCCAGGGGTAGACTAAACACGGCCCCCTGTGGGGCGCGCGGCCGCTGTACCGACCCGCCACCGCGTGGTCCGGCCTGCCACTGTTGGCGGAGCAGCGGCGCGCCCTGGCCCGAGGCCGGCCGTCTGTGGTGTTGTGGCCTTGAGACAGGACCGCCTGTGGTGTTGTGGTCTTGAGGCAGGACCTTCTGTGGTGTTGTGGTCTTGAAGCAGGACCTTCTGTGGTGGTAGGGCCGTCTGTGGTATTGTGGCCTTGAGACACAGCACCACCGAAATCATATCTAATACCGTGACAGTCATCTCTTGACGCGCGCCCGGGTGGACGGTTGGGTGGGTACCCTTCGCTCAGGTGGGGGTCAATTTGACCCCTGAGATCCCAGGAACTAAGAGGGCTAGAGACACCAAATGCCCAGGGTGTATTGGCCTGTACGTGAACAGACTTAGGTCAAAGTTTGAGCCTCCTAGGTCATGACCTTCGGGTCAAATAAAATCAAACAATGTCAGACTCCAGGTTGGTCTCCAAAGTGTACCCCAGAAGCTGGATACCTCTTCTAAGGAAAAGGTCACATGCTCACTCAAGGTCAGTGACCTTATTTGACCTGTCGAGGGTCATGGTTACCAAAATTGTACAAGATTGCTTTGAGTTTTACATTTGAATACGCGACAAAAATTAAGCTAGGCAGTATGTTCTAAAAATAAAATGTTCACCTGGGTCATTTTAGGTCAGTGACCTATTTTTACCGATAAAAAGGCCATGAAGCCGTCTAATGCGGTTCATGTTATCACTGAAAAATGTTGTCAATAAATTCGAAATCAGCACCAGAAACGATCCCAAACAGCAAGCCCTAGAGCAATAAAACAGGTTGGTTTGACCTTGATCTGACCTTTATATATGACCCTGGGTCAATGAAATTTGTTCACGCAATTGTGTTTCCTAAGAAAGTATCTCAGAGATGCAAGGCTTCGTCTACAACTCTGTTGCTCCATCAGAATGAACGATTCCCTTGAGATTGACTTCGCTGAATCAATGGCCCGACTGACCTGCCGCAGGTCAGCGACTTTATAGGTTGCGTCCAATTCTTTATTGCAAACGATCCGCTATTCAGTTGTCTACAGCTATGCAAAATTTGGCGCGGCTACGCTTAGCCGTTCAGAAACCATTCCGGAAAGCCCTTGGGGGTCAATTTGACTCCCACCCGAGCGCGTGTTAACTGCGGCTCATGTGCGATCCAGCCCGGGGTACGTGCGCCAGATAGAGCCGTGTGTGCCGTGCTCTGATTGTGCCTCCGATAGCGTACAGCCACGGCGTGGGCGATGGGCCACTCTCAGAGCTCAGGCCGTCTCCGACGGCGGCGTAATTCGCTCTCAGAGCTCAGGCCGTCTCCGACGGCGGCTAATGTTCTGCAGGGCTTAGCCGCGGATACCAGAGCAGAGAAGATTGTATGCACTTGGTCCTGACGCCCATTGTACAAAACATGAAAGGCCAAACTGTAAAGCGAGACGTGGACAGCCGTAATTTGTGGTACTTTTTCTCTAACTCTTAGGTGCATATGCGTATGTCATGCATATATTTTTTACGGAGCGCGACGCGTGTCGCCACGCTGCTTTTTTGAGCGACAGCGACTGACTGCGCCATAGTAGCGCCCCGGGGCCATGGCACGAGGGGATCCGAACCCGGACCTCCCATTCTGGAGTCTTTTGCGCTAACCGCTTGGTCATTACGCCCTCGCAATGCATATATGGTCCATACTTGGGTATGTGCATATAGCGGGGCTTGTTACCCAGGGTTGAAGCCTTAGAAAATTACATGTTGTGGTACTAGATATATTTTGTGTTTCAACTTAATCCTTGCTATTGCATAGATATCAGTTTACAGTTTTATTACAGCTGTATCTTTATCTTGCTCCATATGTAACTGTATTGTAGGTTTTATGCTCAGGTGGGTTATAGCGTATTATAGGTCACCGTTGATTACAGCTTTATCAGCACTGAGATGCTGCTACACGACAGCAGGAGTGTGCTATTGTTGCGGTCCGCTGGATGCTTTTATACAGAAGCACACTAGCCAACACTACCCATATATCCGTTGATGACTAGATTCAACAAGCGCTTCTCGCGTGTTTCCCCGCAATTTTGAAGTCGTTTAGCTCACAAGCCGATGCGGTCCAGTGTTTGGGTGCGGCGCGTGCTTTGCTTTGAGAAAATGCCAGAGAAACCACACACACACCAAGTGAAGAATAATTTGCAACGGTTACGATAAGAGGGCCCACGAAATACAGGGAGTTTTCAGCAAAGCTCTCTGCTATGGCGAAACAGCACTGCCATTGACTGGGCGGGGTGTGTTTTCGAGTAACTTAAGAATGACAACGCAGGAACATTGCAGCAGCATCGACATGTGGCAGTGCAAAATTAGGAAGATCTGGCATTTGCAGCTGTAGCAAGTGTGGTTTTTGAACTTTTGGAGTGCATAACAACGCTCGAATCGCGGTGGAAATCTGGAGAGCAAAATTTGAACGTCCCTGACAATCAGGACATCACACCCGGTGCCCGTCAGGCATCCTGGCAGCCAAAGTTCGGTTCGGCCATTCCAAAAATGGTGTCGAGTGGATCCCGAAATAACTCGTCCAAAGACGTGCCGTAGCTTAGCGAGCCAGATAACTATATCTTTTTATGGCTTTTCATCTGCCATCACCCGCGAGATTGAAGTGACATAAGTCCAAACAGATTTCGGGGTAGGTAAGATGAATCCTTGTCTGAGATCGGTCACATCTTTGGGATGTCCATTCCCTGCGTCACGGCTCGGTCCTCGGCGTCAGGGATCGCCGCGGGCCAGGTCCGAGCGGCGGGCGTCTCCTGTCGCCGTTGCCGGCCGTGGCTGCGTCGTCGGTCCGTGGCGGATCATCCTGCCTGTCCTAGCTGAATGTCGTCACCTGCCCTAACTGTTCTGGTCTGTCCTGCCCCAGTAACCTATCTGTCGTGTTCCATTGCCTTGATCTGTCCTGTTGGAGTGTTTGCTGACAGCGCGCCATTGTCTGGCAGATTGAGGAGAACACGCGTGCGCTAGAGCAGCTGGCCCGGCGGAGCAGTGTGGGCGCCGAGCCGCGCTCGGCCACGGCCACGCCGACGGGGCCAGCGCCGCGCGGTCCGGCCGGCCCGCCGCGCGGCGGCGCACGCCGCACCCTGCTACACTGGGCCCGCACCGCCACCAAGTACGGAACGGCAACGGGGACAGTGGCGCGCGCCACCCTGGCACTCGCGAGGCAGCTGGGGGCAGTGTCACACCTGCCGATAGCTGCTCATCGCACCGAACGATGGCTCCTTACCACACCGGCCGATGCCGTTCACAATACTGACCGATGGCCGCTCATACCGACCGATGGCTGCTCACCACACCGACCGGTGGCCGCCCACCACACCGACCGATGGCCGCTCACCACGCTGACCGATGGCCGCTCACACCGACCGACGGCTGCTCACACCGACCGATGGCCGCTCACAACACTGACCGATGGCCATCCATACCGGCCGATGGCCGCTCGCCACACCGGTTACGTATGACGACGGTGATTCGTTTGCCACGCACATTTTTTGCCTAACCTGTTCCTGTTATGGCTTGGACGGCAAAATAGCGATTATTTTACAGGTCATACGGCATCGAAGTCGGAGACTTTGGCCGTTCCTGGCGTGACGGCAAGGCATTTGTGGCCATTGTTCATTGCATCAATCCCACCATTATCGACGTGAACGCTACGGAACGGATGCCCACCCACGATCGGCTGGATACGGTTTTCAAGGTATGCTGCTATTGTAATGATCTACGGCGCGAAGCAAGGGTGGTGTTGAAGCGATGGTTTAGAACTGAAAATCAAGCGGTGATTTTACCATAGCAGTTGGAGCACCCCTTGAGTACCGGGTTACGTGGACCACTTATGTTTAATATTTTCATGATTGCAATTTGGTACCGTATGATCTGTACAGCTTGAGTTATGTGTCATTGCAGTGTAAGTTAGATTGGTGAACCCGTGATGCTCGATCCAACCCCTGATAGCAGTCTGAGGGAGATTGTTATCACCGTCGCACGTAAATTTTTGGCGGGCATAGTGGTAGCGATGAGTATTACGCGACCTGGCTGCATCGCGTGACTGCCCTGACCGGCGTCAGTTCGGACGACACGCTCCTATTACAAGGTCTCGCTGACCTCGCCTGGAGCCCGGTCCCACTGCACCCAATCAGTGGACCGGCATCGCTGCCGACCAGTCGTCGATGTCAAGCAGGAAACCTGGCCTTGTGTGACCTTAAATCTGACGAGGCGCACTGAGGCGAGCGTGGCCAGTGTATTGTGGTCGGACCTGCCGGTGTCTCCCTCTGGCCCGTGTCCTCTGACCCCTGTAAACCCGTCTGTCCGTGGGATCGGGGATGGCGAGCCCCCGAGTGGTACCTCCTCGGACCCGCGCGTTTCGGCCCGCCCGATCTGGCCTGGCCCGGAAGTGTCTCGTCTAAGACATGCTCTGACACGGCCTCTGACCTCGCGCCGCCGCCGCCGCCGCCGCCGCAGGTGGCCGAGGAGGACCTGGGCATCGCCCGGCTGCTGGACCCCGAGGACGTGGACGTGCCGGACCCGGACGAGAAGTCAATCATGACATACGTGGCCCAGTTCCTGCACAAGTACCCGGAGCCGCAGACGGTGGCACAGGTGCGGACGGCGCCGGGGCAGGGCCGGCACCGCGGCCGGTGCCGCTCCAGCTCTGGACGGCGCCTTACCCTCCAGCCTGTACACCAGGCTACCGTACCACGTAGGCCTGCTGGCTAGGTTTTTTTGCGCTCACACTCGGAAACGACTTAGCTCAATCGCATGACATGCTTCCCCGGCTCTGCCCTGAACGATAGGTTACCGCCAGACAGTGCATTGTATTTAGATGTAGGAGAGAAAAATCAACGCTGGTGACATTCGATCCGAGTGTATGTTCGGTGCCTTTACTCCCCATGGCAGTTTGATTGATACATGTGGTGGCAGAGCAAGACGCTCGGTCGCGCCGATCGGGGGAGCGGACGCTTCGCTATCATCCGGGTCCAGCTGCTGGTCCCAGCCGTGTGGCCACTGTTTGGCCAGCGTGATGGCAGTGTGGCTATTATCCGCCTGACGGTGCTCTGTGTGGCGGTGTTGCCGCTGGCCACCTGATAGTGCATTGTGTGGCGGTGTGGCTGTTGGCCTGACGGTGCTCCGTGTGGCGGTGTTGCCGCTGGCCACCTGATAGTATGTTGTGTGGCGGTGTGGCTGTTGGCCTCCTGACGGTGCTCTGTGTGGCGGTGTTGCCGCTGGCCACCTGATAGTGTGTTGTGTAGCGGTGTGGCTATTGGCCTCCTGACGGTGCTCTGCGTGGCGGTGTTGCCGCTGGCCACCTGATAGTGTGTTGTGTGGCGGTGTGGCTGTTGGCCTCCTGACGCTGTTCTGTGTGGCGGTGTGGTCGCTGGCCACCTGATAGTGTGTTGTGTAGCGGTGTGGCTGTTGGCCTCCTGACGGTGCTCTGTGTGACGGTGTTGCCGCTGGCCACCTGATAGCGTGTTGTGTGGCGGTGTGGCTGTTGGTCTCCTGACGGTGTTCTGTGTGGCGGTGTGGTCGCTGGCCACCTGATGGCGTGTTGTGTGGCGGTGTGGCTGTTGGTCTCCTGACAGTGTTCTGTGTGGCGGTGTGGTCGCTGGCCACCTGATAGTGTGTTGTGTGGCGGTGTGGCTGTTATCCGCCTGACGGTGCTCTGTGTGGCGGTGTGGTCGCTGGCCACCTGATGGTGTGTTGTGTGGCGGTGTGGCTGTTATCCGCGTGACGGTGGCTCCGTGTGGCGGTGTGGTCGCTGGCCACCTGATGGTGTGTTGTGTGGCGGTGTGGTCCTGAGGGCACGGTCCTCCCCAGCCGGTGAGCGGGGGCGCCCGCTCGCCCGCCCAGGAGGTAGACGACATCGCCGCGTGGGTGGTGTGCACAACCCAGTCGCTGGCCGCCCTCAGGCCGATCCGGAAGGACGAGTTCATGGTGAGTGGTGCCAGCTGCTGCTGAGATGTACGGTATGCGCAGCCATAGGTGTTTAGTCTGCGCATGTAGCCTGACAACTGCATTCTTCATAATGCAAAACCAACTGTTGGTTTGCGCTGGGAAAATTGGCGTTGGGGGTTTTTAAAATTTGTATTTTGCAGTCCCATTGATCGTCTTTATGCTAGCACAGTTCTACAAGTACACATTCACGGACCGGTTGATCTCAACAGAGCTTTAAAACGGTGAAAAACGACGCCTCTGAGCGGTACCTTCGATACGAGAAGCTGAAGACTATGAATCTGCCGGTGCCGTCCGATGTGTGGAGCCGCGTTGACGAAGGCTGGAACGCCCTGGAGATGCTGGTGAGGCACGGTTCTGCACAGCAGTGACGTTTGGACACATGTCGAGAACATGCACCGGTCGGGCGATCTGTGAGGCTTGTTGGGCTATCCCGTAAATCGTGTCGAGTAGTGCCCAGCCTGGTGGCTGCCATCCATGGCACTGTCGCCTGGACATGACATGGCTCGCTCACAATGACTGCGCTCTGTCCTGATTCGACATGCGGACCGGGCAGAGGTGTTGTCCTGATTCGACATGCGGGCCGGGCAGAGGTGTTGTCCTGATTCGACATGCGGACCGGGCAGAGGTGTTGTCCTGATTCGACATGCGGACCGGGCAGAGGTGTTGTCCTGATTCGACACGCGGGCCGGGCAGAGGTGTTGTCCTGATTCGACATGCGGACCGGGCAGAGGTGTTGTCCTGATTCGACATGCGGACGGGGCGGAGGTGTTGTCCTGATGCGGCATGTGGACCTGGCAGAGGTGTTGCGGTGCTCTGAATGCTGATTTGCGATGGGCGTTGTGAGCCAGGCTTCAGTTGATATGGTGGGCGCGCACGTATCTACAACTGGGTATAGGCTGACCGTCGCAAGCGTGTCGCGGTGGCCTGTTACTGCACAGCCCCGTACACGTCCAGTAGGCCGTGTTCCCATGTCCAGCTGAGCGGGTGGTAGGCCCCCTGGACGTGCCGTACTAACCGCCGTGTTGCCGTGTCCAGCTGAGCCGGTGGTAGGCCCCCTGGACGTGCCGTACTAACCGCCGTGTTGCCGTGTCCAGCTGAGCCAGTGGTAGGCCCCCTGGACGTCTCGTACTGACCGCCGTGTTGCCGTGTCCAGCTGAGCTTGCGGTAGGCCTCTGGACGTCCCGTACTGACCGCTGTGTTGCCGTGTCCAGCTGAGCCGGTGGTAGGCCCCCTGGACGTCCCGTACTAACCGCCGTGTTGCCGTGTCCAGCTGGGTCGATGGTAGGCTCCCTGGACGTCCCGTACTAACCGCCGTGTTGCCGTGTCCAGCTGAGCCAGTGGTATGCCCTCTGGACGTCCCTTACTGACCGCCGTGTTGCCGTGTCCAGCTGAGCCGGTGGTAGGCCCCTGGACGTCCCGTACTGACCGCCGTGTTGCCGTGTCCAGCTGAGCCGGTGGTAGCCCCCCTGGACGTCCCGAACTGACCGGCGTGTTGCCGTGTCCAGCTGAGTCAGTGGTAGACCCCATGGACGTCCCGTACTGACCGCCGTGTTGCCGTGTCCAGCTGAGCCGGTGGTAGGCCCCCTGGACGTCCCGTACTAACCGCCGTGTTGCCGTGTCCAGCTGAGCCGGTGGTAGGCCCCCTGGACGTCCCGTACTAACCGCCGTGTTGCCGTGTCCAGCTGAGCCGGTGGTAGGCCCCCTGGACGTCCCGTACTAACCGCCGTGTTGCCGTGTCCAGCTGGGTCGATGGTAGGCCCCCTGGACGTCCCGTACTAACCGCCGTGTTGCCGTGTCCAGCTGGGTCGATGGTAGGCTCCCTGGACGTCCCGTACCAACCGCCGTGTTGCCGTGTCCAGCTGAGCCAATGGTAGGCCCTCTGGACGTCCCTTACTGACTGCCGTGTTGCCGTGTCCAGCTGAGCGGGTGGCAGACCCACCTGGACTCGCTGCTGCCGGAGCCGTTCCTGGCGGTAGTGCAGTGGATACACGGCGCCGAGCTGTTCCTCGAGTCCTCGGACAGTGTGCCCACTGAAACCAACGAGCAGACGGCCAAGCTGCTGACGGCCAGCCTGGAAGAACACATGGTGGGTTCACAAGGACACACGCGCGGCCTGACGGGCCTCTTGCACCGGCACCCTATCGGGCCGCTCACACCGGCACCGTGTCGGACCGCCCGCTCCGGTACCCGGTGAGGCACCAGTGTCGTGTCGAGGGTCCGCCTCCTGCGAAGGTTTGAGGCCGGGAGGTTGTCATAAGAAGAGCTTATACTGTGTGCTGTGCATCGCTCTCAATGACCTCACGTATTCAGGGAAGCGATGCACGGGGGAGTGGGTTCTGCATGCCTGATGTGTGCTGCGCGTGAAATCACGCCCCGGTGATCGCACTCAGATGTGTCGGCTCCAGCGTTTCGAGGCTCCAGTGACCCGCTCATCAGCTGCATGGGCTGGAGGTGTTACGGTCCGCTGGCGCGTGGCGCGTGCGAGCCATGCGGGACGGGGCGGGGCGTGCTGAGCGATGATGCTAATGCCGGGCTCTGGACAGGCGTTCTTCGGCGAGCTGCCGCGGGTCGAATCGGAGCTGCGCCGAGGCGTCGGCCTGCCGGTAGCCTCCCAGCTGCCGCCGCAGCAGCTGGCACACATCGACAAGCGGCTGAAGGCGGTGCGCGGTCTGGCGCACCGACGCTGGGTGCGGCTGAAGTACATGGAGCACCGGGTGAGTAGGAGCCGGCCGCTGGCTGTGGCAGGGTGCTGCCCTCCTGACGCGCGGTAACTACACCATAACCAGATCCCGTCGCCGCGCCAAGCCAGACTGGAGGGTGTCCGAGACAGGTTGGAGCGTGTCCGAGCCAGACTGGAGTATGTTCGACTGACTGGAGGGTGTCCGAGACAGGCTGGAACGCGTCCCAGCCAGACTGGAGTATATCCGACTGACTGGAGCGTTTCCGAGCCAAACTGGAGTGTGTCCGACTGACTGGAGGGTGTCCGAGAGAGGTTGGAGCGTGTCCGAGCCAGACTGGAGTGTGTCCGACTGACTGGAGCGTGTCCGATCTAGAGTGGTGTGTGTCCGACTGACTGAAGGGTGTCTGAGACAAGCTGGAGCGTGTTCAAGCCAGACTAGGGTGTGTCCGACTGACTGGAGGGCGTCCGAGACAGGCTGGAGCGTGTTCAAGCCAGACTGGAGTATGTCCGGCTGACTGGAGGTTGTCCGAGACAGGCTGGAGCGTGTTCAAGCCAGACTGGAGTATGTCCGACTGACTGGAGGGTGTCCGAGACAGGCTGGAGTGTGTCCGGCTGACTGAAGGGTGTCCGAGACAGGCTGGAGCATGTCTGAGCCAGACTGGAGTATGTCCGACTGACTGGAGGGTGTCCGAGACAGGTTGGAGCGTGTCTGAGCCAGACTAGAGTATGTCCGACTGACTGAAGGGTGTCCGAGACAGGCTGGAGTGTGTCCGACTGACAGGAGCGTCTCCGAGCCAGACTGGAGTGTGTCCGACTGACTGGAGGGTGTCCGAGACAGGCTGGAACGTGTCCGAACCAGACTGGAGTGTGTCCGACTGACTGGAGCGTCTCCGAGCCAGACTGGAGTGTGTCCGACTGACTGGAGGGTGTCCGAGACAGACGGGAACGTGTCCGAGCCAGACTGAGGGGTGTCCGACTGGGGGGTGTCCCGTCTCTGTCGCTGATGGTCGCCCCCGTCTATGCCACGCAGTGCTGCATCCTGGCGTTCCTGATCCTGATGGAAGGCCGGGTGCGCGCCTGGACGGTCAAGCTCGGCCGGCAACCGCGCGTCGAGCAGATGCTGCACGAGTACCAAACGTTCGTCTCCGACCGCAACGTCTTCCACGAGTTTGAGCAGGCGTTCATTGACATGAAGCGTGTGGCGGACGACTTCATCAAGGACGGCGGCGTTGGTAGGCAGCCCCTCTCGCACTGCGCCTGCGACGGCCTCCTGCTGACGCGTGGTGACTCGAGCTCCGTCCGGGACGGAGCCGGGGCTAGAGTCGTTAGGACGGGGCTAGGACGGGCTCGAGTCGCACAGTCCGGTGCTGCTGTGGGAGGGGGGAGGCTGCTTGTAGCGAGGGCGACCTGTGTACGGGTAGAGTGAGCTGCACCTCACGAGAACCAGCTCACTACGCGGTACGCATATGCCATACCCAGCGGCGCGGTCCGTTACAAAGTTAACGTTTGCTGGCCGAGCTGTGATGATGAGTACGGATACTGTCGTGCTGGTGACTCGGCATGGCTTCGTCGTCCCGCAGGTCCCAAGGAGAAAGAGGTGGTAGTGCACTTTATTAACGAGGTCGGCGAGCGCTGGCGCTTCGTGTCTGTGGAACTGCAGTGCCTGCGCTCCATGCTGGAGGAGGTGAGGAGCCGGCGCAGCGCGGTGGGCCCTCCACGGAGTCACAGCTAGACTGACACTCGCCAGACGGCGAGGGGAGACTGACACTCAGCCGGGGAGGGGGAGGGAGCGACTGACACCGGCCAGACGGGGAGGGGACGACTGACACTCGCCAAACGGGGAGGGGGAGCGACTGACACCAGACGGGGGGGGGGGACTAATATTCACCAGACGGGGAGGGGGCGACTGCCACTCGCCAGACGGGGGGGGGGGGGGGAGGGGAGCGGGGCGACCAATACTCACCGGACGGGGAGGAGGAGAGACGAGGGACGACTCACTAGGGGCTCACGCCATGATGTGTAGCTTTGCGAAGACATGCTGGGACTGCGCTACACGTGCAAGCTGGCGCAGTACCCAGATCATCCCACCTACAAAGCAATGTTTTGGCGTAGCTTACGAAGGCTTTTTCTACGTCAACGGTCCCCACAAACTTCCCCTTTTGTTTACGAATGAGAGAACTTTTAGACGAGAGCGGCCTGAACCTACGACGTGTCATCAGACCTAAACCCATGAAGATTGCTCCTTGGGAGCTAGCATCGCCAAAGTGGATGTTTCGCTATCAAACATGCAAAAGCAACGCGTTCTCATGACAGAACTTAAAGGGGCAGCCTTAGAACACATAGCATCTTTTGACGGATACATGACGACTTATACGGATGGTTCAAAGACGGACGCAGGTGTAGGGTGCGCTTTTGTGTGTTGATTCACAGCACGGTCATTCACACTGCCTTCGCACGCGTCGGTCTCCACCTCCGAGCTTATAGCCATCAGAAAAGCTGTCTGTTTTATTGAAGTGGACGATAGCAATTTGCATTTAATTCTTTCCGACTCCTTGAACAGCCTCCTGGCTGTTGGCGGCTTCTCCCCGTCGAATCCACTGGTCCAGGACATTCAGTCGCGTCTTAGCTCACTGGATCGAGCAGGAAAAACGGTCGTCCTATGCTGGATCCCAAGTCATGCGGGGATCCGCAGAAATGATCTTGCTGACGCGGCAGCAAAGCGCACTACGACAGGGACACGCATTCCTATAACACCACTACCAGCTCAAGACATGCACCCCGCAGTGTCGTTGTTTATGCGGAAGCGATGGCAGTTCCACTGGAACTCGCTGAGCGCCAGCAAGCTGCAGTCCGTGAAACCCCGTATTGGACTATGGCAGTCGTGCTTTCGGGACAATAGGGTGGAATAAGTTGCCCTTTGCCGGTTACGCATAGGTTACACATATGCTACGCACCGTCACCTGCTATTGGCTGGCGACAGGCCATGCTGCAGTCGATGTTCTGACCCGCTGACCGTGCATCACGTACTGGTCGCTTGCCGCCACCGTACTGTAACGAGAGCGCAGTTTTTCGGACACCACGGCGAGAGTCGCACGCTATGTCATTTTTTAGGGGATTCTTCGAACGCCGTCGAGTTTGGTAAAGTGCTCCAGTTTCTTCGTGCGATAGATTTTCCAGTTATCGTTTCATCATGATGCTAGGGCTGATCATCAAGGCTTTATAAGGTGACCTGATTGATGCACTTTTCCGATTGACGGCTCTGCATAAATTGATAGTTATGGGCCCTGCATGACCGACAGCAGTCGACGCGCCCTAAAACCCCAAATCATCATCATCATGGTGATCGATATGTTAAGTACGTTTGTTTTGTGTTTTTTAATGTTTGACCGCTGCATATTTCCGACAGTTTGGCGCCTCTCTATAGTGGCGTACATCGTCCGTTGAACTCGTGTACCTTCTCTGAAGGGAGTGTTATCGCCAGGTGCTCTCCTGTTGGAAGAAGTTCTCACACGGCCACGTGGCACTGAACGCGTGGATGGACAAGGCCGAAACCATGTTGGACAAGAGCGAAGAGGAGAAGCTGGAGTTCTTCCAGGTATGTCAGTCAGACATCGGCGGCCCTTCGACTGACCGGGGGGGGGGGGGGGGGAGGGGCGAATCGGGTCTTGTGGCAGCCAGACGCCCCCGCCGCCCCGCCACTGCTGCCCCGACACGCTGCGCTGTGGGGTCCGCGGAGTTCCACCCGGTCCGGGCCACTTTAGTCGATCCACCCCTGGCTCCATCTTCAGCGCCTCGCCCCGCCAGCAACGGGCAGACGCTGGAGCTGGAGCGCGTGTACGGCCGCCGGTGAGCTGGCGGATGGGGCGCGTGCCGACCGTGAGGTGGTGTCGGCACGGCGCCGGTGGCGGCGTCCGTCCCTGACGCGACCGTGCGTGCCGTCACAGGACCTGCCCACCTGGTCGGAGCGGCAGCAGCAAACCGACGACTCGGGCCAGTTCCTCACCGCCACCTGCCAGGACGACGTGGCCGCCGAGGTGCAGGAGCAGCTGCACCAGCTGCAACGTCGCTGGCAGCTGCTCTTCAAGGTGGGTGGGGGTGACGCCGGCGGCCGCGGCCTGCTCCCGATGGTCTGGCGCGCGGCGACGCCTCGAGGGCGTGCGGCGTGTTCCCCTGGTGACCTTCCCGCTGCGTACCCGCGCCGGGCGGCCCGCTGACGCCGCGTTCTGTGGCCTATTCGTCTGGCAGCACGTGCAGCGGTACATGCAGAGCGGTCAGATCCGGCAGCGGCTGGCCGAGTTTGGTCAGCTGACAGCGCGGCCGGGGCGCTGGACGGAGCGGGCGACGGCGGGCCTGGCGGCGCCGCTGCCCTGCCGCCAGGGGGAGCTGCTGCAGCGGCGACATCTGGCCCAGGTGAGACGCCACCACTACCCCCCCCCCCGCACACAGGCGCACGCACGCAGGCACGCACGCACACACGCACGCACGCACGCACGCACGCACGCACGCACGCACGCACGCACGCACGCATGTGGCAGGGCAGACGCTGCGGCGGACGTTCACGGACGCTGCAGCGTGTCCAGGCCATGCAATGACAAATCGTTCCATGTGTAGAGGCGGTATGTTTCGGGTCAAGGTACATGCTACATGAATGGCACAGGAGCGTACCAGGGATGGCCACTGCGCACTGCGTAGGTGCGTGCACGGAAACACGGCACAGACGACGGCGCGACTGGGTGGTCATAGGTATTGGTCCGTGTGTGGAAGGGCCCAGCAGGGGCCGGGGGTCTGATTGTTGCCGATGAAGGCTCCCTGGCTCTGGCCTCCTCCAGATCCTGGTGGCTGTACTGACATAGGAGTGCGATGCGTCGGTACGTAACCTAACAGGAGCTGTGCCAGGCCGTGGCGGGCGCAGAGGGGGCGGTCCCGCCGGACGGGGTACAGACATTGGGAATGGGCCGGGACCGGGCGCCTGGGTGGTGCTCTGTTACGGCCCCGGACTACATGGCGTCTCTTCGCTGCCTGCTCATGGCACATACTGTTCTTAACCGGGCATTCAGGTATGTTATCGTCTGCTATATGCTACTTGTTGCTTGATGGGCTCGAGCATGGGGATGGAAAATGGGCGAGGAGAATGCATCCCAATCTTTTAAAGTCTGCTTTTTGTTTCTTTCAGTCGCTGCTTGACGAGTTTGCTGAGGTGGAAGCGGACCTGAAAGCTGCCAACAAAATGATACAAATGCTCGGTGACGACATCTCAGAGGAGAAGCAGCAGCAAATGTGCCAAACACTGAAACAGTTAAAAGGTGTAGTACAACATTGTCAGTGCAGTGCATCACCCGTACGTCGTTGCTTAGCATTGCTACTGACGTTGTTCTTCGGTCTGGTCTGTCGTCACGGTGGTGCCGAGGCGGGCGCCCGGTGCGTCAGTGTGATGCTAGACTGAGCGACCCAGCGGCCCTGACCTGGCCGTCCCTGGCCTGACTGACCCTGACCTGACCAATCCTGACCTGACCGACCCCGATCTGACCGTCCTTGGCCCGACTGACCCTGACCCGACCAATCCTGACCTGACCAACCCGGACCTGACCGGCCCTGATCTGACCGTCCCTGGCCCGAATGACCCTGACCTGACCAATCCTGACCTGACCAACCCTGACCTGACCATCCCTGACCTGATCGACCCCGATCTGACCGTCCCTGGCCCGAATGACCCTAACCCGACCAATCCTGACCTGACCGACCCTGACCAGACTATCCCTGACCTGACCGGTCCCGACCTGACCGTCCCTGGCCCGACTGACCCTGACCCGACCAATCCTGACCTGACCGACCCTGACCTGGCCATCTCTGACCTGACCGGCCCTGACCGTCCGTGACCTGACCGTTCCAGATCTGACCGTCCCTGACCCAACCGTCCCGGACCTGATCGTCCCTGACCTGACCGGCCCTGATCTGACCGTCCATGACCTGACCGTCACAGTCCTGACCGTCCCTGATCTGACCGGCCCTGATCTGACTGCCCGCTCTCCCCGGTCAGACGCAGCGGACGCGCAGCAAACGCGCTGCCAGCAGCAGCTGGCCGGCTGCGCGCAGGCTGCCGACCGGCTGGCGGCAGCCGAGCGCGGCCAGGCCGAGGTGGCCGACTGGCTGGACGAGCTGGCGGCCGTGCTGGACGAGCACCAGCCGCCGACGGCCGCCGACCAGCTCAGCTCGCGCGCCGACGTCCTGCAGGTGAACGGCCCGGCCCGGAGGCGTCGCCCATGTTGCCAGTGCCTAATTTGTGAAGGGATTGTGTTCAGCGCATGGATGCTGCCAGCGCCGTTTCTCGCTTGCACCTCTCGTGTGAGCACGCGTTGATCTCTCTCGGTCGTGTTGGGCCGATGTGCCGTGTCGCGCCGGTGGCATGCCGTCGGTGCCGGGGAGGTCGGCCGGGCAGCGGTGTGACGGCCGCCCCCCCCCCCCCCCCCCCCGACGGTTTGGCAGGCGGTGCTGGCGCGCCAGGTGTACTGCCGCTCACTGCTCGACACCACCGTCAAGATAGTGAGCGGCCTCCTAGAGGCGGTGCGGCCACTGCAGACGGTGGACACGGCCCAGCTGGAGGCAGCCACTGACGCGCTCGGTCCAGCGCTTCACCGAGCTGACCGGCCGCGCCGACCGGCTTCAGCAGGTCAGGCTCGACTCCGGCTCCCCCGCTGTACCGCCGGCTCCCCCGCTGTACCGCCGGCTCCCCGCTGTACCGCTGGCGCTCCCGCTGTACCGCCGGCTCCCCCGCTGTACCGCCGGCTCCCCCGCTGTACCGCCGGCTCCCCTGCTTTACCGCCGGCTTCCCCCGCTGTACCGCCGGCTTCCCGTGCCGTACCGCCGGACGAAGCGAGCAGCCGGCCGCGGGGCTGCTGCTGGAGTACTGGCATTGCTGCTCATGCTGCGATGCTGCCATTCAGCTTTAGCTCCACGAGGGTGGTCGACTGTAAGCGCCATGCGTCCCGAATAGTATGCCACTGCCTGCTGTAAGCTTATTTGGTGAGCGTTGTTGCTGACTGCGTGAAGGTTCGGTGGCAGGCGACAGCTGAGTTGTGCTACAAATTGCAACGGTCTCCCTGAGTGTCTTAGCAGCCGCGGGAATTCTGGAGATGATTGTATCGACTGTAGCAGTCCTTCTCGCGTCAGAACAACACGAGGCTGTACGTTGATACAATGCCGCCCGTTGGTTGGCGGTCGGACTGTGAGCAGCGCCGCCGGGACGTGTGAGAATGCCCCGGCGGTCTGAGCGTGACGCGGTGGCCTGTCTGTTGCCTGGCAGGAGATATCGTCGTCATCGGAGGCGTGGACACTGTTCGAGCAGAGTGTGCTTTCCGTCACCGAGTGGCTGGACAAGGCCGACCGGATGCTCTCCGAGCGGGCCGATACTGAGCAGTTGCTGGAGGAGCACAAGGTATACGACCCCCAGCCCCCCAGCCCCCCGGCCCCGAGGGCAAGCTGTGCAGGCTCGGGCGAGTCTGTGGCCATTATAACGAAATCAGCAGGACGCTCTCGCGGCGAGACTTGTTTTCTTCGTTCGTTGTCGCGGTTATAACAACACTTATAAAACGGCGCACTCACGCCGGCCAGCTGCTGGCGGTTGCGGCACTCGCTGCCCATAGTCATGGCCGTTTCATGAAGACATGTTTTGCGTGGCGGCGGCGGCGGCTGTCCATCGGCCGCTGGCTGGAGGCTAGGGCTGCCTCTTGACCCGGTGACCCGGCCTTGTGTGTCCGCGGGCCGGCTGACCAGAGCCGGCCGTGCCGCAGCGCGCCTTCTACGAGGCGCCGACCGAGCGGCTGACGGCGATGAGCGAGCGCGGCCGCGAGCTGTGCGCCGCGCTGCCGGCTGACGGGCAGGAGACGCTGCGGGCTACCGTTGCCCGGCTTCACAGCCGCTGGCAGGTACGGCGTGCGCATGCGCCACACTGATCGGCGGGTCTGTGGCCGATGTCAGCTGAGGCGCATCGTCGGCTGGGGAGCCGCCCCCTCCCCCCTCTCCGCCCGACGCCGCACCAACGAGGCGCAGCAGCCCAGGGGCAGCTCGCAGGGGTGTAGTGGATGCTCGGCTATGGGACCGTGGCACAGCGTGGCAGCCGGGTATCAGTTGGTGGGCTTTTGACGCACCGCCATTTGGCCGGCTGTGGCGGCGTGCGGCAGCGCGGCGGCGGCGTGTCGCACTCGGCCGGCGGCGTGGCGGTGAGCGACGCTGTGTCTGTGCCCGGCAGCGGACGGTGGATTGCGGCCCGGCGCACCTGGCGCGTCTGGAGGTGCTCGCCGCCCTGGGACAGCTGGGCCAGCAGCTGGCCCAGCTGGAGCAGCAGCTGGCCGCCGAGGACAACGCGCTGCAGCGGGGCGGCGAGCTGGCGCAGCTTGCTGACCGACACCGGCAGACGGTGGCGCCACTCATGGAGAGCGTGGCCGCCCGGCTCGGCGACGCACGGTACGGCCCGGCCTCTGCCGGATGGGTCGGCGGCGGCGCCATACGAGACGGCGCGCGCGGCACTACTCTGTGTTAACGTGTCGGTCTGATTGCGTGGCGACCGGGCGTGTTGTGTTGGTTGTGTGTGTGCAAGTTTGACCTGGCAAGTCTCTTTTAGACTGGCCGCACCGGCCGCGGGTGCGGGGTCATCGGTGTTGGTTATGTTCTGGTTCGTCTTAATTCGTGCTGCTTTGCGGTTCTTTTGTGCCCGGTTCTCTCGATTTATCCTGTTCTGTCCTGTTCCATCTTCCGAGACGGTTCCTCGCCGCTGTGTGTGTGCTCGGGCGGCGTCGTAACCACGACTGACAGCGGCCGGCGGCGCTGGTGCAGGGAGACGTGTCTGCAGCTGAGCTCCCAGGACGGCGAGGTGCTGACCCAGCTGCGCTCGCTGGAGGAGCGCTGGCGCCGGTTGCAGAGGCGCGCGCACGCCGTCAGCGGCCAGCTGGAGCAGATGTCGGCCCGCTGGACCGAATACGAGCAGAGGTTAGTGCCGCCCGGAGGGCCGGAGACGGCGCCGCTGGCTGCTCAGAGGTCGCCACGCTGGACCGAATAAGAGCAGAGGTTAGTGCCGCCCGGACGGCCGGAGACGGCGCTGCTGGCTGCTGAGAGGTCGCCACGCTGGACCGAATACGAGCAGAGGTTAGTGCCGCCCGGACGGCCGGAGGCGGCGCCGGTGGCTGCTCAGAGGTCGCCACGCTGGGCCGAATACGAGCAGAGGTTAGTGCCGCCCGGACGGCCGGAGGCGGCGCCGGTGGCTGCTCAGAGGTCACCACGCTGGGGATGGGCTCGCGCCCGCGTCAGTAAGCTAATATAACTGGACTGGTGGCTGCGCCAACAGGTCTAAGGGCTCTGCTTACAGAAGTGGGATATTATCAGACTGTCAGTGTAGTCCCAGCCAGGCGGTAACACCGCTACGGTTGACAATGCTTATGTGGTCTAGCGAGAAGACTCGCCGCGCACATCTGCCCGCTGACCAGCGACTGGCTGGTGTGCGCGTGCCGGCCCGGGTCAGGGCGGGACGGGGCGGGGTTGGTGACCGGTGCTGTGCGGCCCATCAGACTGCAGCTGACTGGCGACTGGCTGGACCGGGTGGAGCAGAGCGTGCAGGCGGACGCGCTGGACGCCGAGTCGGCCGATCAGCTGCAGCAGACCCGGCAGGAGTTCCAGGTGAGGCGCGCCGGCAGCGCAGGCGCAGCGGCCGCCTGGCCGGCCCTCGCCGAGTCGTAGGGTTCCTGACTGTCGCCTGCCTTCGGTGCAGCACACCGCACTTATGTTTTCAAGCAAGGCTTCTCTCTGGAAAAGAGGTTCTCTTGTCTCAGTCAGCACGCAAAGACGGCCTCCAAGAGGAGTATTTTAGAGTCGTGGTGTACTTGGAGAGACCTAGCCATTGCTTGTCATGCTCCTGCGCCGAGCGGGCAGTCGACGACTGTTGCCTCGCGCTGTTCTTTATCTGCCAGGGCGCGGGTGAACTAGTGTGAGCTCAAACCGGGCTACTTTACCGTCTGTCCACTGCGGTCCCCGTGCGTGCCGCGTACACCCCAGTGACCACTGCGACGCCAGTCCCGACTAGGCTGCTGCATCGAGCCTCTGTCTGCGTGCTCTTAGTGCGGGCCGTGTAGCCGCCGTCCGGGCAGTGGTCAGCTGTCAGGCGACACGAGTTGCGCCCTGTCCTGAGCCGGACGCGGCCCGCACCACGTCAGAGGGCGGCCGGTCGGTCCCGCTCTAATGCGCCGCCTCGGGCCGCCGCTCGCGCCGGCAGGCTGTGTTCGGCGAGCTGACGGAGCGTAAGCAGACGATGCGATGGCTGGTGTCGACGCTGGACGCGCTGGTCGGCGGCCTCGCCGAGCCGGAGGCGGAGCGTCAGCGGCAACAGCTGTCGGCTTTGGTGATGCGCTACAAAGAGCTGGTGCCGCGGCTCGAGACGGCTGCGGTGGCGCTGGACGGCCTGTCCCAGTGTCACAATTACAGGATCGAGATCGACGAGGTGAGGTGTCGGTCATGACGGGGCTGGACGGCCTGTCCCGGTGTCACAATTACAGGATAGAGATCGACGAGGTGAGGTGTCGGTCATGACGGGGCTGGACGGCCTGTCCCGGTGTCACAATTACAGGATAGAGATCGACGAGGTGAGGTGTCGGTCATGACGGGGCTGGACGGCCTGTCCCGGTGTCACAATTACAGGATAGAGATCGACGAGGTGAGGTGTCGGTCATGACGGGGCTGGACGGCCTGTCCCGGTGTCACAATTACAGGATAGAGATCGACGAGGTGAGGTGTCGGTCATGACGGGGCTGGACGGCCTGTCCCGGTGTCACAATTACAGGATAGAGATCGACGAGGTGAGGTGTCGGTCATGACGGGGCTGGACGGCCTGTCCCGGTGTCACACGTACAGGGTCCGACGAGGTGAGGTGTCGGTCATAACCGGGCTGGACGGTCTCTCCCAGCGTCACACGTACAGGGCTGGGATCGGGGTAAGAGTGCAGCGAAACCCATCTTGGCGGTCAATACTGCTACAGGAAAACGATATTTGTTAAAAAGTTAATCTTGTTTTATTTGTGATGAAAAAATCAGTCCCCTCCCTTCGTTTGGTGTGGTAACGGTTGTAATATCACATCTTTGGAGTGTTGTTTCGAATTCTTGGACTCGTCCAATGTTTACGTGCTGCCAAAAGGTAAACAAAAGGTGCAGAACACATGCAGTAAACCAGGTCCGGATTCACTGGTTGCTAGCGTTTGTTCGGGCAGACGGCTGCCACGCCGTGTTCTCGCGGAACACGACCCGCTACCGCCAAGTTGTCGCTCTGCTATTGGCGGCGCGCGCCGAGGCTGAACACGACCCGCTACCGCCAAGTTGTCGCTCTGCTATTGGCGGCGCGCGCCGAGGCTGAACACGACCCGCTACCGCCAAGTTGTCGCTCTGCTATTGGCGGCGCGCGCCGAGGCTGAACACGACCCACTATCGTCAAGTTGTCGCTCTGCTACTGGCGGCGCGCGCCGAAACCGAACACAACCCACTACCGTCAGATTGCCTCTCTGCTATTGGGGCTGAACACGACCCACTCTCATCAGATTGTCGCTCTGCTGATGGCGGTACGCGCCGAGTCGTCGGAGGTGCCCACGGCCTGGGAGGACGCGGACGAGCTGGCGGAGAGCCGGCAGCGGCAGCAGCGCGCCGTCCAGCGGCTGGAGGAGCAGCGGCCGCGCGTGCTGGCGGCCATGCAGCGCGGCAGAGACCTGGGCCGGGACCTGGCCCAGCGGCCGGCGCTGCTGCCGACCGCGCTCGCCCGGCTCGAGCAGACCTGGGCCGAGAGCAACGCCGAGCTTATCCAGCGGCTCGATCAGGCCACCGGTGAGGCGGGATGCGTTGCTCGGTGTGCCGTGCACGACATCCGCGGCACAATAGCATTGTCTCGTGACCGTGCGGAGCGCGTGGCTGGCCAGCGGTGCTGCTGGCTGCTTGCGTACGGTATCGGGAGCGGTGCGGCACCGTGTGGAAGGCGCAGCAGTCCGGTACGGCGGCACGACGTCCCTTGCGGCGGCCGGCGGCTTCCCGGATGCTTACGCAGCCGTGTGTGGCCGGCGGCCGGCGGCTGCCAGGTGCTGACGCTGACACCACCGTCTCTGGCCTGCAGACGCGGAGAAGCTGTGGTCGGAGCTGGCCGACCGGCAGGCCGACCTGCAGTGTGCGGTCTCCGGACACCAGGCGGCGCAGGCGACGGCGGCGGCCGCTGGCGAGCCGGGCCCGGCGCTGGCCCAGCTGGCGTCCCACCTGCAGGCCCAGCAGCCGGAGCGCGCTCGGCTGGCGCAGCGCCGGCTCGAGCAGCTGACCGCGCAGCTGGCGGACCGGCTGCAGCCGGACACGGCTCAGCGACTGCAGCAGCAGGTACTGCGCCGGCCGGCGTCAGTCCGCGGCATTGATGGGGCGGCCCCATGCCCGCGACGGAGGAAACAGAAAGACGAGATTGTTCGCTTGCTATGCCCCTACTTCGGGTGTAAAAACCTTGTCTTACTGGTCGGACGCGTTGGTAAATTCTTACAATGGAGCTATTGCAAGATTTGTTTTATGGTCTTTGTAAATTTTGGACCGTTGCGAATCACGATCGGCGCGCCTGCTTGTGGCGTGTGTGCAGTCCTTTTTTGCCTTTGATATGCCCGGCTGCTGCCGCAAGCCCTGAGCGCTGGGGAGGGGCGGCGCCTCCTCTGACCGCGGCCCGCCGCCCGGCAGGCGGAGGAGAGCGGGGCGGAGGTGGCCGCCGTGACCGGCCAGCTGGAGCAGCGGCTGGCAGCGCTCACCGCCGCCGACCGCACCTGGCACCAGGTCAGAGCCGCAGCACGCCTGACGCGATGACGCCGGTCTAGCTAGCGGCGACACTGCACGGTAGCCGACGCGCACACGCTGAGAGGAGCCCGCCACTCTGCAGAGCGTGCAGGCAGCCTTCATGCGGCTCTGGCGTCTTGCCATATATTTGCTTTATTTCCGTGGAACGCGTTACTTGAGTCAGATGTTTCGCCAGTGGGTGACAGCAGCGGCCGGTCGGTGACGGCCGAGCGGGGCTAACTGGGCCCGGCCGCATCGCCAGTGGGCGACAGCAGCGGGCGGCCGGTGACGGCCGAGCCGGGCTAACTGGGCCCGGCCGCATCGCCAGTGGGCGACAGCAGCGGCCGGCCGGTGACGGCCGAGCCGGGCTAACTGGGCCCGGCCGCATCGCCAGTGGGCGACAGCAGCGGGCGGCCGGTGACGGCCGAGCCGGGCTGACCGGGCTCGGCCGCATCGCCAGTGGGCGACAGCAGCGGCCGGCCGGTGACGGCCGAGCCGGGCTGACCGGGCTCGGCCGCGTCTCCAGGCCAGCGAGCGGGTGGAAGCGGTGCGCCGCGGCCTACAGGCGGCCCAGCGCAGCCAGCAGCGGCTCACCACGCTCGACATGCCGCCCGAGGCGCGCCGGCAACAGCTGCAGCAGCTGACCGAGCAGCTGCAGCTGCACGCAGACGAGCGCGACAGGCTGGCGCAGTTGCTGCAGGAGCTCCAGCAGGGTAGGCGATGGCGCTGGCCGGCGCGTTCCCACCGCCCGCGCGGGCCGGTCCGCTTTGCGGCTGTTGACGAAGTTTTGGATACATTTTATCACCTGGATTTTTTTGTCCGTCCCATGTGTCTTGTTTCCATCGTTATTTGCATACCATTGCCTGTTTTCTTATGGCTATGTTTTTCCCTTTTCTTATGGCATTGCTGCGTTGCCCTTCTTGTTCCATCTGTTCTTCTCTTCCCCTCATGCCTACCTTTAAGTCTGCTTTCTCCGTAACATGTGCCGTGTCCTCTCTCCTGCCGAAGCGTGGGGAGGGTGCGTCCGTTTTGGCGCCCCTAGCCCGTGGCTTGTGGTAATTTGCCGGCCTTTGTTCCTGTGGACGGAGGTCCGGACAGAGCGTGCCCTTGTCTGTGCCGGAGGTCGGGACAGAGAGTGCCCGTGTCTGTGTTGGGGTCCGGGCAGGGCGTGCCTGGGTCTGTGCCACGGGGTCCGGACAGCGTGCCCGTGTCTGTGCTGGAGGTCGGGACAGAGCGTGCCCGTGTCTGTGTTGGGGTCCGGGCAGGGCGTGCCTGTGTCTGTGCCACGGGGTCCGGACAGCGTGCCCGTGTCTGTGCCGGAGGTCGGGACAGAGCGTGCCCGTGTCTGTGTTGGGGTCCGGACAGAGCATGCCTGCGTCTGTGCCGCGGGGTCCGGACAGCGTGCCTGTGTCTGTGCTGGAGATCCGGACGGAGCGCGTCCGTGTCTGTGTTGGGGTTCGGACAGAGCGTGCCCGTGCCTGTGCCTGGTGTCAGACAGAGCGTTTCCTTCTCTGTGCCGGAGGTCCGGGCCGGAACCCCCCGAGTCTCACCTTGCTGTCCGGGCCACGCCGCAGAGGGCTACGACGCTGGCCAGTTTCGCAGCGAGCTGGCCATTCTGGGCGACACGCTGGAACACATGAGGGAGACGGCTCAACAGCAACAGGCCGTGCTGGAGGAGGAGTACGCGCACTGGCAGACATACCAAGCCGAGGTAACGTACACAGGCGTACCGAGACGTACGTTCGTGAAACAAAGCCACAAACTTGCACACCTTTAAGTATATGACAAGCGAGCATGCGAGCCTGAAGAAGTCAGTCAGTGTCAGCTTTCACTGAGCAAATCTCATAATAGGGTTAAAAAGTCGCCCGTGAATACGTTGTTGATGACCCGAGAGGTCTGCATGGGCCGGTTTGAGAGGTGTGTAAGTGTATGGTGGCAGTGGGGTGTTTGTTGGTCCGACACAGCATGGACGACAGCAGACGAGCCAGGCCAGGGCCACGCCTGACGTGGACCGCGTGCGGCGCTCTGGCTGACGCCCCCCGGCCGACCGTCGTCAGGTGGGCGAGCTGGTGCCCTGGCTGCACAGGGCCGAGCAGAAGGTGGCCGCCGAGCTTCCGCGGCCCGCCCAGCTGCAGGAGGCCACCGACATGCTGCACCAGTGCCGCCAGTTCGAGGACGAATGCAACGACAAGGAGCCGGCCGTCAAGGTGCGCTCCGCTGACGGCCGCGCCTGGAGACCGCTCGCCATTCGCCGCCGCCGGCACCGCGGCACGCGCGCGCGCTGCTTCGTCCTAGCGCTGGCTAGGACACAGGAAGCGGCCGGCGCTAGCGCCCAGCTGACAACCGCTGGCGCCCAGCTGCTGACCGGTAGCACCCGGCGATGCAATGGGGGGGGGGGGGGGGGGGGCTGCCTACCGTACAATTTTGAGGTGATTCGTTACGCCCGCGGACCACAAACCGCACTGAACCGCACAGCCCGTGGACCAAACCACACTGGACTGCACAGCGAAGTGTCTGAAGGTTCACAATATGCCCTGTGTGGCTCCAGATGAGATATTGCGGTGTTCAGCGTATCGTGCCCCGTGTGCGGAGGTCCTGGTGGACGAGAGCTCCCAGATGATCCAGGTGTGCAGCGTGCTCTGCCCCGTGTGCGCAGGCTCTGGTGGACGAGAGCTCCCAGATAATCCAGGTGTGCAGCGTGCTCTGCCCCCTGTGCGCAGGCTCTGGTGAACGAGGGCTCCCAGATGGTGCAGGTGTTCAGCGTATTGTGCCCCGTGTGCGGAGGTCCTGGTGAACGAGAGCTCCCAGATGATCCAGGTGTTCAGCGTGTTCTGCCCCGTGTGCGCAGGCTCTGGTGGACGAGAGCTCCCAGATGATCCAGGTGTGCAGCGTGTTCTGCCCCGTGTGCGCAGGTCCTGGTGGACGAGAGCTCCAAGATGGTGCAGGTGTTCAGCGTGTCGGACGAGGCCGACTCGCTGGTGACGCGCTGGACCAAGGTCCGCGAGACCTCGGTGGCCTGGGTGCAGCAGATGCAGGTACGGCATCAGTGGCGGCATGGGGAGGGCGCTGGGCTCGGCCCGGTGGGACAGCCGCTCCCGTCACCCGCCAACGCTCGCGCTATGTGCCATGTGGCGAGCGGGCTCACTTCGACGTCTTCGCTCGCTGGCTCTGCAGAACCGGCCAATACGACGGCGCGCTGTTGTGGCGCCGGTCGAATTTCCGACCCACTGGGAAGGGATTGGAGGCTCACTTGCCAGTCGGTGTGCTGGTGTGGACGGCGCTGATGTCTGTGTGGCGGCTCAGCTGGTGACGAGCGTGCCAGCAGCGGAAGTCAGTTGCGTCGGCGGTGCCGGCCCCCGACGGGCGGCGCAGCTCGTTCGCCCATGCGTGTGTGTGTGTGTGTGTGTGTGTGTGTGTGTGTGTGTGTGTGTGTGTGTGTGTGGTGTGTGTGTGTGTGTGTGTGTGTGTGTGGTGTGTGTGTGTGTGTGTGTGTGGTGTGTGCGTGCGTGCGTGTGCGTGTGCGTGTGTCGCACCCCGCCGGCTGCTGACTGCGACCGCGTCACCGCTTTGCAGGGCCTGGTGTCGGCCCTCCAGGAGGTGCACACGGAGCTGTCGGCCGTGCGTCAGTGGCTGGACCGGGTGGGCGGCCAGCTGTCACCCGACGAGGCTGACCAGGACACACCGGATGCCCGCCAGGAGCTGGACCTGTTGCAGGTCAGCTCCGCCCCGCGCGGCGTGCCGACTTCCGCCGGTGGACACAGCAGCTGCCGGTCGCTGGACAGTGTGCACCAGTGGTCGGCTGTCGCCCGTCAACGGCTCCGCTGGCCGGCTGTGCTGGACGGCAGGGCTGATCCGGCGGCCGGGCTGATCCGCATCAGGAGTGTCCTGTCGTATTTGCCCGTGCCCTTGTATGTGGCGTGCGTTGCTACGTCGCCTGGTATACCCCACTGTGCGGGATGAATCACGCTTTTTAGACGTCTGTGTGGCGTGAATCTCGCCTGCAAGTCGCCCTGTGCGGTTTTAATCCCGCCCTGTGCGGTGTGGTCCCGCCCTGTGCGGTGTTGGTCCCGCCCTGTGCGGTGTTGGTCCCGCCCTGTGCGGTCTTAATCCCGCCCTGTGCGGTGTTCGTCCCGCCCTGTGCGGTGCTCGTCCCGCCCTGTGCCGTGCTGGTCCCGCCCTGTGCGGTCTTAATCCCGCCCTGTACGGCATTGGTCCCGCCCTGCGCGGTGTTTGTCCCGCCCTGTGCGGTCTAAATCCCGCCCTGTGCGGTGTTGGTCCCGCCCTGTGCGGTCTTAATTCCGCCCTGTTCGGTGTTCGTCCTGCCCTGTGCGGTGTTCGTCCCGCCCTGTGCGGTGTTAATCCTGCCCCGCGCGGTGTTCGTCCCGCCCTGCGTGGTATTCGTTGAGCGGTGTTCGTCCTGCCCCGTGTGGTGTTCGTCCCCCCCCCCCCCCCTGTGCGGTGTTCGTCCCGCCGTCTGTGCCCTGTGGCCACGATGTGCGGCACCAGTCAGTGGTGCGGTGGTCCGTCCAGTCTGGACTTGCCTGCTCTGCTGACTCGTCTGGCTGTCGGCAGCCGGCGGTGACCGAGATGCCGGGCAAGCAGTCGGCGGTGCTCTCGCTGCAGCAGCGGTGTGACCAGCTGGCCGAGCTGCTGAGCCCGGACGGCGCCGCCGAGCTGCGTGGTCACGTGACCGCGCTGCGCTCCGAGGTGTCGCAGCTGAACCAGAGTCTGCGCCAGCGTCAGGCGCGCACCACCGACGCCGCCACACAGCGGTCAGTGATGGGCACATCCGGCGTGTGACGAGGTGCTGTTCTTCACCCGTGATACAGCCGGCGGTCGTCAGCTGGGCGGAGAGCCATCCGCCGCATACAGCACGCATTTGACCGCGATCGGTCAGGATTTTTGCAACCCAGCGGTTCGTCATGGTTCGTCACTCATGCGTCATCACAGGGTCATCCCACGACTCAGGGGTCATTCACCGCCTGTCCATGCTGATCCTTTCCCTCTCGGGTCAGGGAGGGGACGTTCCGCCGCCTGTCCATGCTGACCTCCCCCCTCCCCCTCTGGGCGGGGAGAAGACGTACCGCGGTCTGTCCATGCTGACCTCTCCCCCTCTGGCTAGGGAGGAGACGTACGGCCGCCTGTCCATGTTGACCCTCCCTCTCTGACCAGGGAGGGAACGTACCGCCGCCTGTCCATGCTGACCTCAGCTCTCCCCCTATCAGGGAGGAGACGTACCGCCGCCTGGAGGCGCTGACCGGCTGGCTGGACGGCCTGAAGGCGCAGCTGGCCGAGTTCGACCGTGTCCAGATCGACTCACTCTGGGAGTGTCTCACCTCGCTGGCGTCGCTGCAGCAGGAGCTGACCGCGGTGAGGACGCCCGAGCGTCAGCACGGCCGGGGTCGGCCAATACCGGTCCATTGGTGGGAGCCCACACACACCGACGACTCGCTCCGACGTCCAGCGGGTCCCGGATCTCTGTAATTCTGCAAGTTCTGTTTTACTTACGATTTGTCTTCCCACGACCCAATATCTGATGCAACAGATGATGGCAACAAAAGAGGGTGAAGTGAGAGGAGAAAATGTCTCCCGCCAGTGGTCAGGAAGTGTTCATGTTACAAGTGCCAGCAGTCTGATGAGTGACGCGTCATGGAAGTTTCAGATTCTTTAGCTATTCAAACACGTATATGAAAAGTGAGACTAATTTGCCGTGATTTTCCAATGGAAACTCGGCAAACCACTGCTGCGGAGACCACTTGGAGGAATTTTGAACAGGTAAAGTAGCGCGCTTTTTTTGGCGTTGTACGAAATTAACAAAACAACGGTGGACATAAACACTGCTCGGACGCGGTCGTGCCGTGCCTGCACAGATCACCAGAGCCAGATAATCGTCATTTTAACATAACGTGCTGTGCTATGATATGAATCATTTTGCTTGTGTTTTCAGAGGGAGGTTTGCCATCAGTGCCCATCACAACATCACAGAACAAAACACAACAGCTACTAAACCACGGGGAGACGTCAGGGAGCGAAAGACCACAGTGGCATTCCCTTTTTGGTCAGGCCAGTAGACGACGATGATGAAAGCTTGTGGACAGAGAGGTGATGTGGAAACTGATGGTCAAACTTACGGCAGATGGCTCCCGACTGATGTCGTCACTGACACACGTCACGGCGCCGGCCTCCACGGCCAGTGATGCGCCCATGCCACCTCGGTTGTTGTTCAGCGAGCCCGCCGAGATGCAGGTCATGCGTTACTGCTGCGCCTTCACGAGCTTTCCGATCGCCCACCTGATGCTCAGCGCGGGATCCTCACGATGTTACACAATAGAGAGGAAACAAACCAACGGGGCAGTAGACTCAACCAGCACGTGGTGTGCACCAGGCATGCAGTTTCCATTCGTCCCAAAATCAAAATGTCGGACGCAGAAAAACACTACGTTGGCTTTATGCATTAAGATGTGCAGGCGACAAGTGATGCGATCAGTGGTCGTTGATAAAACTGTCCCGTCTTGGAATTTTTTCGCCAGGACCTGTTTGTATTTATATGCGCGCGCTCTTCTGTTTATGTTCTGATCGTAAAAAGTGTCATTGGCATAAACTGAGGCATAATACACATTTATCGCACCGTATGATATTGAAGTACATGCTTCTCACTGAGATATGTTAACCGCCCTTCATTAATGTTGCTTTGCATACTTGCGGACTGGGCAGTCCGTTTCACTCTACGTGTTCCCTAGGCCCCTTCCTGCCAGCTTCACAAGCCAGCGATCGACAACTGATGTTAGACGGAGACAGGACTCAAGGGGATTTCCTCACATTTAGCATGACGCCAGTGTCGACTCGACAAATCCAACAATTTGCTCTGATATTTCGTACTGGCACTTTAAGACTCGTGTCATATTAATCTGTCGATGCAAGTGCATTTGTTTTTTCCATTCAGTACGCTCTTCTAAGTTCGGAAGTTCGCTCAGTAGGCATTTTGGAGATTAAGTGTTGTTTTGTGGACGTTGCCGCAGAAGTGTGTTTAGTGAAAAATCACGCGGTGTTGAGATAAAAAGGCGTTTTAAAAGCATCAAGGTAAGCACGTGGCCGATTAACCTATTAGTTGCGTGTTTGCGTGCTGTTTGTCGTGATCATGGCTGTTGGGCGTCTTCGAGTCGTTGCTGTGCCATGCTGGATATATCTGGCGCCAGACGTCGAAGCGCAGCGCCGTGGTGTGTGACGTGCAGTGGTGTGGATCTGGTCACCGCAGAAGCTGCCGAGCTGCGACGCCGTGCGTGAGGACGCCACCAGTCTGTACAACGAGCGGCCGTCGCGCGAGAACGCCCGGCTGCGTGACGACTCTGAGCAGCTGTGTCGAGCGGCGCGCCAAACACAGACGGCGGCCAGCGACAGGCACCGCGCCGTCGGACTCTGGACCGAGCTCGCCGCACACAGGTGGGGCGTCGCCACCGCCGCCGCCGACGACACACGACCGTCTCGGACTGGCCCATAATGTTCGCTGCAACGGATGACAGTACACGACCCAGTACCGCGTCCCGAATGCTTGCGTCCAAAAACAGCACCGTAGCCCACAGGTATTTGCTCAAATATGATGGGTGCGGTAAGGGATTTGGTACCGAACAGGATTTACTTGGGAAGCCATTCCAAGCATAGCGAAGTAGCCAAAAATGTGTGCACCCCAGATGGCTTTTAAACCTGTTACAGACATCGGCGGGTTTTCATTGCTGTCAAATGGTGCTGAAACCTCGTGTTATAGCTTTTGGAAGTTCGCGTACTTGAACGTCTTTGAACATTTTGAGTAATTTATGCACCGATGTATGAGTCTCTTACCTGGTTTGCGTTATTGCAGTTCAGATGCATTGATAACAGTGTATACATACACTAGAGTACTTGTGCTGTTGTTTTTATGATATTTGCTGAATGTACTTGCTATCTACTCAACAAAATATTACTGCTCGCACTCGGAGCTATGTTGAAGATGAAGACATGCGGCAAATACCAGTGTGAGTTAAGCTGAGGACACCGCTCAACAAAAATCCCCTACTTTGGGGTAAGCGCGCATCAGGCCGCTTCGGGGGGGGGGAGGGGGCAGACCGCCTTGGCTTTCATTTCCGACGTCCTCGGGTGTGCACCGTGGCCCTTCCACGGCGCTGGCCTCGCTGCAGTGACCAGAGTGGCGCACAACCATCAGACACGTGAGCGAGCAGGAACGCGTCGTCGCGGTGCAGTCAGTGGGTGCAGTTGCAGTCTTAGTATGTGCAGGTGCAGTCGCAGTAGGTGCAGGTGCAGTCACATTGGGTACAGGTGCAGTCACAGTGGGTGCAGGTGCAGTCACAATTGGTGCACGTACAGTCACAATGGTTGCGGGCGCAATCAAAGTGGTTGCCAATGCAGTCACGGTGGGCGCAGGCGCAGGTGCAGTCACGGTGGGCGCAGGTGCAGGTGCAGTCACGGTGGGCGCAGGCGCAGGTGCAGTCACGGTGGGCGCAGGCGCAGGTGCAGTCACGGTGGGCGCAGGCGCAGGTGCAGTCACGGTGGGCGCAGGTGCAGGTGCAGTCACGGTGCTCCCGTCGGTTTCAGCAAGCGGCTGGGTGAGCAGCTGTCGGCGCTCACAGAGCGGGTGCAGTCCGGCTCGCTGACAGTTGAGCAGGTGCCCGCGCTCCAAGGCAACCTGGCCGCCCTCCAGGTGAGTGCCCGCGCGCGCTGCGCTCAGTCTGTGAACGCGCCCACCGTCGCGGGCTACCATCAACACAGGCTGTAGCGCTGACTTACCCGCCGCTTTGTGATGCGATGTGGTAGGTACTGATGGTAGCTTATCGAACGCCGCGACGCTTTGCGAAGAGCAGCGTGTTATTTTCGTTGGGGGAAGGGGAAGGCTAGAGCTGGCCTAACCTCTTGGCGGCTCTGTTGGCAGTCGGAGCAGGCCGGTCTGGTGCGTGAGGCGGTGGCCGTGGAGCCGGCGGCCGAGCGGGCCGGCCTAACGGTGTTGCGCGGTGATGAGGAGCAGCCGCCGCAGCAGCTCAGCGCTGGCACGCTGCAGCACCTGCAGCAGCTGATGGCCCAGTTGGACGAGCAGGACCAGCGGCTGGCGCAGCGGCAGCAGGTGCGTCGCGGACCGACCGCGGCCCGCCAGCCGACAGACAGGCGCCAAGGCTCAGGCGAACCAATAGCCACTCCCGAACGCGGCATCAGCGTTAGGGGACGGCGGGGAATATGGGAACTTGTATAGAAACCATCGCTGGTTCACTGTGGGGAGCAGTAACTGAAGACCCTCATAATACCGATTTGATCATCCCGTCTTTCAAAACCGGGACGGAAATTTTCTCAGGGAGGAGAGTGGAGTAAGCTCGCGAATGCTTCGCTGCCGGCACTGTTAGGTAAGCGTTGCCTGATAGCGAACCGCAAGGCATCACAACGGTACTTTGCTGATGAACGACGGTCGTGCGGATCATAGCCCTCTCAGCAGGCGGGCGTGTACAGTTGTGGAATCACTGGGCCGGTCCGTGGCCGCATGTGTCGGTCCGACGGCGCGTGCTGAGCGGCGCCCCTCCGGCAGGCGTGGCGGCGGTTCTGTGCTGACCGGGACGGTCTGGTCACCTGGCTGGAGACAGCTCGTGGCCGGCTGGCCACCAAGCAGCAGCGCTGCGCCCGGCTGGCGGAGCTGCCCGAGCTGCTGTCGCAGCTGGACACCGCAAAACGCGAGGCCGACGCGCGCACTGACGCCCTGCAGGTGTGTGAGCGCTACTGCAGCCGCTGGCGAGGCCGCCGTGTCTGCCGTCCCGCCCGCCGCCCCCCCCCCCCCCCCCTGCGTCGCGCTGCGCGCTACACGTCTCGCGTCGGGCTCCTGTCGGTCCAGCACTGTTTGCGTCGGGATGTTGCATGGTAACAGTTCGGTTCGCCGCGTCGGTGTGCGATATGGCGCGGATTGGGCGGGGTGTGGCCCGCCAGCAGGGCGGAGTCGATGACATCGCCGGCTGCCGGCCCGCGTGCTGACGCCGGTGCCGCGTGTCGACAGGCGCTCCACCAGGAGAGCCAGGCGGTGCTGGAGTCGGAGCCGAGCCGCTTCACCGAGGTGCATGAGGAGATGGTAGCGCTGGACCGCTCCTGGAACGCGCTGCGCCAGACGCTGGCCGAGTCGGCGGCCCGCCACCAGACGCTGCAGGACTCCTGGACGGCCGTGCTGGAGGCGCTGGACGCGACGGAGCGCGCCGCCAGCGCCGGTGACGCCTTCGCGCAGCGGCGCGGAGCGCAGCCCGATTCGGCCACCGACCTAGAGCGCACGCTGACCGGCGGCCGGTGCGTCTTGGAGCGGCTGTCGGCGGCGCGCCGCCAGCTGGCGGCAGCGCTGGGCAGCGTCCGCTCGGCAGCCACTGCCGCCGGACTCTCGGAGTGCCTGGAACGCGAGTTGGAGCAAGCCAAGGCGTCAGCACGCGAGGCCAAGTGTGACGAGCTGAAGGCGCAGATGGAGCGCATGCTGCCGGAGCTGGAGTCGGCGCACATCCTGTGGAGCCAGGTGGCGCGCGTGCATGAGGACGGCCTGCGCTGGGCGACCTCGGCGCATCAAATGCTGCAGACAGCCGGCGACGGCGCCAGCAGCCTGCGCGAGACCAGCGCGCGTCTCGAGCAGTGCCAGCACGAGCTGGCCGGCCAGCAGAGCGGCGCGCGCGCCGCCGCCCAGAAGGTGGCGGACGTGCGGCGTCTGCTGGCGGCCGACAAGCTGCCAGCGCTGGACGAGGCCCAGCAGCGGCTAGAGGCCAAGCTGGCGGCGACCGAGGTGGCGCTGCACAGCGCCAGCCAGTCGGTGGCCGGTCTGGTGTCGCGCGAGACGGCGCTGCGCCAGGCGCTTGGCCGCTGCGCCGAGACCGCCATCCAGCTGCGCCAGAGGGTGGGCGAGCTTGACGACGCCGCCGGCTCCCCGCAGGAGGTGGTCGGCCGGCTACGACAGGTCGATGAATGCGCCGCTCAGCTGAGCGCCCTGGAGTGCTCACTGGCCGCCGTACAGGACGACATTGATGCTATGGAGCAGAAAGCCGTGCCGACAAGCATGTATCAGAAGGAGCACTCCCTGGTCGGCGCAAAACTTAAGAATATCAAGGCCCAGCTGAAGCGGGCGACAACTATGCTCGGTGGGTGTCTCGAGAAGAACTTTAATTTGCTTCTGAAGGATGCCAAGAAAAATCACATCGCTCTGACCGACAAACTGGCCTGGTTGGGCTCGGCGCCCACTGAAAACGGCGCCGCCGTGCGGAGCCGACTGGACGTGGTGGCCGAGCTGAAGGAAGGCGTGCAGGAGGCCGAAGCGGCCCTGACCTGCCTGCAACAGACGGCCGAACAGTACCTGACTGCGCTTCCCGAGGAGAAGCGGCCGGCGGTGGCGGCGGCGCTCCAGCACCACGAGCGCGACCTCACCAAGCTGGCCCAGGGGGTGGCCGAGGCCGAGCGGCTGGCGGCTGAGCTCCGCGAGGAGTGGGCGGAGCTGGAGGAGGCACTGGCGGCGGTCAGCGGGCCGCTGGCCGACTGCGAGCGTGCCGAGCTGCCTGCCGACCAGCCGGACTCTCTAGCCGAGCTGGAGCCACGCCGCACCGCCGCCAAGCAAACGGCCGCCCGGCTGGAGGCGCTGCGCCCGCCGCTGCAGCGTGCCAGCGCGCTGGCCTCCGCGCTGGCTGGCCGCTGTGCTGACTGCGCGGCATCGCAGCTGGTGCGCCAGCTGGAGGCGCGGCTGGACGTGCGGCAGCGTCTGACGGCCGCGCAGCTGCAGCGGCTGACGGCCGGCGCAGCCGCCGCCGACCAGTACGGGCAAGCAGTGGCCGACATGACCGCCTGGCTGGCGGAGGTGCGGGCCGAGCTGACGGCGCATGAGGCCGTGCTGGCCGCCAGCCGGCCGTCGCTCGGTCAACAGCAGCGCATGAAGACGATGCGGGACGCGCTGGGCCGCTGCCATGACGGGCAGCAGTACCTGGCGGCGGCCAGCGGACCGGCCGAACTGCTGCTGGCCGAGCTGGCGCCGACGGCGCGCGAGGCGGTGCGAGCCGAGCTGCGCGCGCTGAGGGACGACTGGGAGCGTTTGCTGGACGGCGCCAACCAGGCGCTGAAGCGGCTGGACGCACTGGTGCTGCAGCTCAGCTCCTTCGACGACTGCTTCCGCCAGGTGGCCGGCTGGCTGGAGAAGATGGAGGCGCAGGTGGAGGAAGAGCCGGAGCCGCGCGCCACGCTCTCGGAGAAGGCGGCGCTGCTGCGTGATGAGCTGGCGCGCCGCCAAGAGGTGCTGCTGCGCGAGCACATGGTATCCCAGCTGCGCCAGCGGGCCGCGCAGGCGGCCGACGTCGACGCGCCGGCCGAGCAGCTGTCTGACTGCTTGCGGCGGTACGACTCCCTGCAGCTCACCGTAGCGGAGCGCGCCGAGCGGGCGCAGACGGCGCTGGAGCGGCATCAGCGGCACGCGCGCGCCCAGCAGGCGGTGGCCGACTGGCTGGCGGACCAGCAGGGCCGCCTGGCGGCCGCGCTGGCCGACGGCGAGTCGTCGGACGCACTGCTGGCCGCCGTCGAATCACTGCAGGGCCGGACAGAGGCCGGCTTGTCGCTACTGCGCGCCTGTGAGGCGTCACTGGCCGAGGTGCGGCCGGAGACAGCGACCGATGGCCGACCGGCGCTCGAGCGCGAGCTGGGCCAGCTGCAGGCGGAATATCACCGGCACATCTCCGAGCTCTCCGAGCTTCGCTTTCGTCAGCAGGCGGCACGCCAGCAGCAGCAGCAGCAGCAGCAGAGTGTCCGCGAGCTGGCCGACTGGCTGCTGCGCCAGGAAGAGGCGGCCTCCGAGCCGCCGCCGCTGGACACGCTGCCGGAAAAGACAACCGAGGTGGGTGTGCCCTCCGCCTACCAGCGCCCGTCCTCCTTCCGCCCGCGCCTGTCCTCCGCTCACCCTCCGCCCGCCTTCCGCCCGTCCTCCGCGCGCACTCCACTCGCCCTTGCTTCACCCTTCCTCCGCCCGTCCTCCGCCCGTCCTCCGCGCGCACTCCACTCGCCCTCCGCCCGTTCTCCACCCACCCTCCGCCCGCCCTCCGCCCGTCCTCCGCCCGTCCTCCGCGTGCACTCCACTCGCCCTTGCTCCACCCTTCCTCCGCCCGTCCTCCGCCTGTCCTCCGCCCGTCCTCCGCGCTCACTCCACTCGCCCTCCGCTCGTTCTCCGCCCACCCCCCGCCCGCCCTCCGCCCGTCCTCCGCCCGTCCTCCGCGCGCACTCCACTCGTCCTTGCTCCACCCTTCCTCCGCCCGTCCTCCGCCCGTCCTCCGCCCGTCCTTCGCCCGTCCTCCGCGCGCACTCCACTCGCCCTCCGCCCGCGTTCCGCCCACCCTCTGCCCGTCCTCAACCCGAACAAGCACCCATTCTTACTCGGTGGCTATTGAGTATGAGCACGCCCACATCCCGTCCAAATCAAGGTTGGTTATGTACTGCTATGTTCTCTTAGGCGGATGTATGTGGAAACCTGCAATGATGCAGCTGAATGTCTCTAAGTGTTGTTCGCCTGCGTATACCATATTTTAGGCAATTTGGATGAGTGCTCTGCATCTCATCGTCTTCTAGACAGCGCTGGTGTCAGAGGCTCGCTGCGCAGTCCATTTGTAACTGCTGCTTTCGCTCACAGCATGGAAATTGCACCAATGGCTGCAATAATTGCGCTGTAAACAAGGACCTGGTGGTGACCACCCAGCGTATGAGGCTGACGTCACGGGGCGCTGTATCCACACACTAGTTCATCACCGGTCTGTGGGCACGCGCGGATATCGCGCTCCCGTCGGTGTGCAGCCAGGCCTCATCTCCCGTGTTGAGCTGCCCGTCTGACTCGCACAGGCGAACCGTCTGGAGGGGCTCTGCACGGAGATCGGCGAGCGCCAGCTGCAGCTGCAGCAGCTGCCCAGCAGCGGCCAGCTGCAGCCGCTGCAGGCGCGCTGCCAGCAGCTGCAGACTCAGCTGCAGGAGCGGGCGGCGCGCAGCCGACAGATGGTGGTCGAGCACGAGGAGTACGACACGACCCTGGCCCACCTGTATGGATGGCTCGAACAGGCGCAGGCACAGCTGGACGACAACAGGTACGCATGGGGCGCCCGCAGCAGCTCAGAATTGACTTTAAAAGATCATGGCAAGTCAGGAGTAACTTGCAGCGCTCCCTTCCTTATTGCATGGTATAGTGTTTTCAGCCCACGTGGATGTTCTGTATCTTTTATTTCAATAAACGGTATGTTGTGGGCGCCACACGGAGCGCAGTCCAAGCGTCCAAAAGTCCCGATAACTAATTAACACTTCATCACACCGTTGGAGTTTTCGTTGGAACACGCAGGCTAAGATGAGGTGCTGGGACGTGGCGGGAAAGGACGGGACGCATGCTCACGGGAAGAAGTGTGTAGTCTGTGTGGCTCGTCTCTGTTGTTATGCCGCTCCTTAGCGTGGCTACCCACTGATCTGGCGAACGTTGTACTTTCTCTCGAGAGCTTCACTTGTGCGAAGCTAAATGCTGTGTACGCGCGGGATTGCCGGTGGCTGGCGGTGTGTTATGTGTGGTCTCATCGCTAGTAGTTTGTCAATCGGGGATTTCCGTGCGTCTGGCTGTGTCTCGACTGCCGTCGTCCGGGGTTGGTTTGACCCCGCCCGTCCTCTGACCCCGCCCGTCCCCTGACCCCACCCGTCTGTTGACCCCACTCGTTACCTGGCCCCGCCCGTCACCTGACCGTGACTATGTGCCACAGCGCGGTGGTCGGCCAGCCGTCGGTGCTGAAGGAGCGCCGCCGCCGGCTGGAGGAGCTCTCAGACGAGTGGTGCCGCCGCGGCGGTGACGTGGACGCGGCGCTCAGCCTCGGGGAGCGGCTGTACGCGCACACGGGCCCGCTCGGCCGCGAGACAGTGCGCTCGCGCAACACGTGAGTGTCGGTCGGCTGCTGCGCCTCGTCCTCAGCTGCGCCCAGCTCACCTATCTGTCCCCAGAGACGCGGTACCCGCCGCCAGTGGAGCTGGACGGCGGTGCCGAGGATGTTTATGTTCTCATGTACACAACTCTTAGCTGTTTTAATGCTGACACGAACCCTTTTCAGTTACTTTATTTGGACCCTGGTCACGTCTGTGCGAGTGGCATCTGAAGAGCTGCGTTATTGCGCTCTGCTGTGCCATTTACTGTGTCATCACTTGAACCATAGTCCCACAACATGACCTGTGCTGTTGTCGGTGTGTGCCGTACTGGCGAGCGGCCGCTCAGCGCCTGGCGCCGCGGCCGGGCCCCTGAGCCGGCCGCCATCTGACCCGGCCTGCCCGGCTGCAGGGACCTGCGCGCCAGCTGGGAGCGCCTCAGCGACCGGCTGCAACAGAGCTGCGGCCGGCTGGACGACTGTCTCCAGCAGCTGGCCGAGTTCGGCGAGTCGCAGGAGCAGCTGACGCGTTGGCTGCGGGACGTGGAGCAGGCCATGGCCGCGCACGCCCAGCTGCGCGGCACGCTCCAGGAGAAACAGGCCCAGCTGCAGGTGCGGCCGGTCACTGTCGCGTGTCTCCTGTGTCGGGGCCTCGGTCTGGAGCGGCAGGGAGGGACGACCTCATCTGCTGTCTCAGCCTGGAGCAGCAGGGACGGTCGGCCTCGTCTGCTTTTCCAGTCTGGAGCAGCAGGGAGGGTCGACTTCGTCTGCTGTCGCAGTCTGGAGCAGCAGGGAGGGTCGGCCTCGTCTGCTGTTCCAGTCTTGAGCAGCAGGAAGGGTCGACCTCGTCTGCTGTCGCAGTCTGGAGCAGCAGGGAGGGTCGACCTCGTCTGCTGTCGCAGTCTGGAGCAGCAGGGAGGGCCGACCTCGTCTGCTGTCGCAGTCTGGAGCAGCAGGGAGGGACGACCTCGTCTGCTGTCGCAGTCTGGAGCAGCAGGGAGGGTCGACCTCGTCTGCTGTCGCAGTCTGGAGCAGCAGGGAGGGACGACCTCGTCTGCTGTCGCAGTCTGGAGCAGCAGGGAGGGACGACCTTGTCTGCTGTCGCAGCCTGGAGCAGCAGGGAGGGTCGACCTCGTCTGCTGTCGCAGTCTGGAGCAGCAGGGAGAGTCGGCCTCGTCTGCTGTCGCAGTCTGGAGCAGCAGGGACGGTCGGCCTCGTCTGCTGTCTCAGTCTGGGACAGCAGGGAGGGTCGACCTCGTCTGCTGTCGCAGTCTGGAGCAGCAGGGAGGGTCGACCTCGTCTGCTGTCGCAGTCTGGGACAGTGGGGCTGCAACACGCCTACGGGGTGAAGCTGCTGCTGGCTGTCAGCCGACTTGTGTTTGTCTATCACTCGATCAGGGGTCGGTATGATCACTGAACGACGGGCCTAGAGAACTTTTTCCACGTGTCATAAGATGTTGGCGCATCCTTTCATTTGGTATAGGTTGAAATGGACAACAGCGCACGACCAATGCGGGTTACTTCGTGCAACTACCAGTGCAGCCGACGCCACCGTCCTGGACCTCAGGTTACACCAGAACACTCCTCTAGCCCTCCTGACCGAACCGCTCTTTGCCTGTTGGTCAGTGCTCGGTATCGGTGCGGGCACAGGCGGCAGGAGACGCTTCCAGTCTTTGTCCGGGTGTGTAGAGCCGCCGTGGCCGACGACAGCGATGCCGTGTGTGCCGCAGAGTCACGAGCTGACACACCAGGAGATCGGCGCGCACCAGGCGCTGGTGGCCGACGTGTGCCGGCGCGCCCGCGAGCTCATCGTGCAGACCCAGGACACCTCGCTGCAGGCGTACGTCACCTCCATACAGGCGCTGTTCGACACCATCCGACTCAAGTCGCAGGTAAACTGGTGGAGAACGGTGGCGCACCTCGACCCGGCACGCGTGCTGTTTTTACACCGTCCCACATTTATCGTCATCACGTAAGTCGGGTATGTTTGCCTTCGCTTTCGTACTTGGCTGGTCGCCTGGGGTTATGTTCACATGGATTTGACGCTACGAGAGCTGTTGGCGGCTGGCGTCTCCAGCGCGGTTTATGTCGCCCCCGCCCTTGCACCTGACGCGTGTGCTCGTTGGGACGCCCGTCGGCGGCCGCAGGAGATCCTGGAGCACCTGTCCGAGTGCGTGCGTCGTCATGACGAGCTGCAGACGGCCAGCCGGCAGCAGCAGGTCTGGCTGACAGCGCAACGCGACCAGCTACTAGCGGCCGACGACGTCAGCGGCGAGCCGGCCGCCGTCCAACAGCGGCGTGACGCTGTCCGGGTACGGGCCCCGCGCCGCCGCTCCCGTGGCTAGTCGGCCGGCCGCCAGGGTCGGGCGGTGACGCTGTCCCGGCTGATGGGGTCGCAGCGAGCCGAAAGCAGACGTCGTTTGAGGACGAGTAGTCTGCCGGCGCGTCAGCGGGTGCGAGACTCGAGCCAGCTATGTTATGTGGGCGAGCGGGCGGTCTGGACGCGGCTGCTCGATCCGGGACGCTCCGTGCGCCGCTGCGCCTCTTGCCGTGCCCGGGGTACTCTCCGAGTGGTGTGTCGCGTGGTGCTCGCCGCCCGGCCCTCGTCTGACCGGCCGTCTGGTGTGTCGCTTGGCAGAAGGCGCAGCCGCGGCTGGCGCAGGGCCGACGCCAGATGAAGCAGATCCACGACGCCTGCGTGCACACGCTGCTGGGCACCTCGGAGTCGGGCGGCACCGCGCTGCAGGCGGCCGTCACCGCACTCGACGACGACTGGAAGGCGTTCGAGAACCAGTTCGGTGAGCCGGGGCGGACGACGGTCCGCGCGTGGCGGGTGGTGACGAGGTGCGCCTCCGTGGCACGCCTCAGAGCGCTCAGTGTCAGATGGGCCCCGTGCTGGTCGCTCCCCGATCTCTGAGGCCGGTCGAAGGGCCAGCTGCCTGTAACACCGCAGGCCGCGCACGTCTCTGCGCCGGTTGACGTGTGGCGTTGTGTGCGCCAGCGACCGCCGACCGCCGCCTGAAGGAGACCCTGGACCAGTGGAGTGATTACGAGCGGCGGCAGAAGCAGCTGGCCGCCTGGTGTGCTGAACATGAACAGCTCTTCTCCCAGCTGCAGCTGCAGGCCACGCTGGACGAGAAGGCGAGTGGGCGCGAGGATGGAGCGCACTGCGGCGGGCTTCCTCTCAGCTCCAGTCGTGGCGCTGACACGTCTGGCCATCGAGACCGCGCTGCTCTGCCACACTGATGTCAGCGTCTCATAGTCTTTCGACATTTCCTGTTACCCTTCTTGCCTGCACTCTGCGGTCCGGGCAGTGGCGGTGTGCCGGACTGCTTGGGCCCGCTGGCCGGGGCTGTGTGTGACGGCGCCCGGGCGCCGCGGCAGGTGGAGGTGCTACGCAGACTGTCGGCCGCTTGGGCCCGTTGGCCGGGGCTGTGTGTGACGGCACCGGGCGTTGCGGCAGGTGGAGGTGCTGCGCAGACTGTCGGCCGCCCGGCAGGCCATCGTGGAGCGGGAGGCCGACGTGGACGAGCTGATCGATCGCGGCAACGGCCTGGCTCAGCTCTCCGGCCTGGAGCGGCTCAACAGTCAGGTACGTCACCAACCGCAGGAGCAGCGGGGTACACTGAGTACCGTCACCGACCGCTGGAGCAACACTACACCACTGCATGTCGTGCATACTAGATGGGTTTAGCTGTGCAACCCGCGATCGCCTGGCGGTGAGGCACCTTCCCTCAAAACTTTGAGGATGATTTCCGAATTGCGCAGGGTCCGTCCACTGAATGCTCATTATCTTTCAGATGATCGAATTGCACTGGCCGGGAGTGGCTCAGTTGTATGCTGGGTCGGGTCACAGTTATGACGTCACCAGCGAAGGCTTGCTCTGTGATTTTTGTGTATATGTGGTAGCTTGCAGTTTTCTGTTCTGTTCTGGCCTACTTTGACGTAACGTATCCACTGGTGTGACCGCTAGTCAGGGTCTGCAGCGTGTGCGAGGTTACGTCAGGTCACCATCAGAGGTCAATGGAAGTCACCTATTTTCAAACCAAAATCATTTCTCATGCCGGTTTGTAAAAATGAATCTGTATGCTGACATCTGTATCTGTACCTGTACAGATATCTGTACGAATCTGTACCTGGCGTAATCCCAAACCAACGACTTTGGTGTGCCGTGTGAACTGGAAGGGCAGCACAGTCCATATCAATGAGATGACTTTGCTTTGACCTTTCGCATTTGGTAACTTTATTAAAAGGAACGTTTCTGCAGCGCAAGACCGCACGCTCTGTCTTGGTCTCGCTTTCAAGCGTAAAGGGCCAGAAGTCGTAAGCGAGAGGGCCGCAGTGCCTGCTGGGGCTTTCTTACGTAGCAAGCCGAATGCCATCTTTGGATGCAGACGGCTTCAACTCGCTATGAGACCTTGATCGACCCCATCTCCCGCGACCGGCCGCAGCATTTGCCGCGAACCACAGGCGGCGCTCACGGCCGTGCTGTGTAGCCCGCTGATGACGTTCTAGGTGAAGCAGCTGTCGGCGCGCTACCAGGAGCTGCACGTGACGTCGCAGACGCTGCTGACCAAGTGGCAGAACATGGTGGACGACCAGCGCGCGTACGACGAGAAGCTGGCGGAGGCGCAGGCCTGGCTGCAGCAGCCCGCCGACGACCAGCCGGAAGACGGTATGTGCGGGCCGGCCGCCGCCCGAGAGCCGGCTCCCAGTCACGTCTGCCGGCACCGCTGACGAGGGACAGGCTTCACGTGTGGTCGATGTGGTGGGCCGGGGTATCACGGACGTGAAGTGCAACGATATAGGCGGGCACACTGGGCGGCGCTGGCTCACCTTCGCGGTGTATCGGACGACAGACAGTGCGAGGTCTTTAGTGACATCTTTTCATGCAGCATGAGGCATGCATTCCATTCATGGTTATGATACTGGCAATTTGACTATGTGAATATGGTATGGTTGACTATGTGACTACATAACAGTATTTGATGACATATTATGGTGCGATGATTTAGTTGGGACATGACCATTACTTTCATCTAATGATAAGTTCGATGTTATGGCTAGCGTTTCCGTAGAGTGTGGTTCCTGACAGTCACTTTCGGACGTCATGTATTCAAGGACGGCAGACAGCTACGTCCGTGAATGAACTCGACAGCTGCGAGAGGCGGATGGCAGCCGCCGCCGCCGTGCCCGCCCCGCTGACCCGGGGGTGGTGTGTGTGTGTGTGTGTGTGGGCCAGGTCAGCGGCTGGTGAGCAGCCTGTGCGCTCTGGGCGAGCGGCTGTTCCCGAGCAGCTCCGCCGCCGGGCGCGATCTGGTGCGCCAGCAGATGCGCGCCGCCCGCGACACGTGGGAGGCGCACCAGGCCGACACCAGGGCTGCGCGACAGGTGCGTGGTCCGTCCGTCCAGGCGGCGAGCACGGGGGCGGGGGTGGGGCTGACTTTGCAGAAGGATGAGATGAAGCTGGGTATTACAGGCTGGCTGTAGATCGGCTGGGCCAAGCCTCTCGCCGTGGTGGGCAGGTTTGCGATCGGGTCATTTCAGAACAGCTAGTTACTTTCGGGATTAGGTCAGTTCTAATGCTTTGTGATTGACAACAAGATTGACTCGATCCCAATTACACGGACCCAATGCAATGAGGGGTTTGATAGAGGTTATTTCCTTTTGTTCAAAATTGTTCTGACTATCTGGAAAATAAGACGGTAGTTGATGGGCAAAAGCAACACACAAATGACCTTCGATAATGCTCAGCTTAGAACATATGTGGTATTCGCCTGATCTAAACAGAAAGGGCTAATGATGCGACATCGACTCGCCCGGCCGTGGTTTGTGAAGGTCATGAGTGGCCTATACCTTCGAAGATTTGGTGCATGCACATAGGTGTTGTTTTTGGATTTATACCGACTTGCATACCGATGGTATGTCCGTTTAATATCGCTGGACTGGAAAAATGACATGAAGTGCGCCACGAAGCCGCGATTGTGGTAAACCTGACCGCATAAATTTGGTCGGAGTTGACGCCGTAGCTCCCTGCAGATATGGCCTGCCCTGGAACCAGCTGCGTTGCAAAACATGCTCCTTGAATGCATCATGAGGGGTCAGTGGCGTACGGTGTGCCCGTGGTGCCGTCGGCGTCCTCTTGGGTGGGGTGGCGGCAGCCTCATCACGTTCGGCCAGGGTGGCGGGACACTGTCGCTCTGCGCCGGTCTGCCGCTGGCCCCGGACGGGCGGCCGGCTCCGCTGTCCGCCGGCGCCGGAGTGTGACCGTCGCTCGCCGTGCCCGCCAGGAGGCGGCGGCTCGCTCGCAGGCAGAGCTCTCCTGCGCCGAGGCCCTCCACCAGGTGGACAGCTGGCTGGAGTCGGCCGAGCGGCTGCTGGCCACCGAGCCCGCTAGCTGGCTCTCCGCCAGCGATCTCAAGACCAAGGCACACAAGCTCAAGGTAGGGCAACGCCGGCCGGCTAGCGACGGCTCGCCGCGCCGCCTAGGTACGATGTCATTGGGAGAAACACGTCCCGGGTAAACAGCCACATTGGCTGGACTGGTGAGGTGGCTCGGGAGGGGTACGTTCGGAGACGTGTGCGATAGTGTCGGAAAACACACGCGGGCCGCGCCGTACGCGACTCGGGCGATCATGTGTGGCAGCCGTACCGGCCAGCTTGTGCCTGCCGTCAGTCGTCTGTGAGGCAACGGACAACTGTGGCGTCCGTGACAGCAGCATAGTGCTGGGCTTCTGTGACGCGGCCGGCTGTCGGCCTGAGTTTGGGCCAGGGGGGGGGGGGGGGCCGCTGACGGCGTCGGCCAGTCACAGACTCGGCGCCGGCTGCTCTGGACACTCGTGACGACAGTCAGGAGTGCCGTCGTGGTGAGCGTGCCGCCGTCACGGCAGCCGGCCGCCTGGTGACGCCGCCGTCGTGACGTGACGTGACGGGGTGTGTCGGTGTGTGCGGCTGGCAGGACGTACAGAGTGACGAGGCGCAGTACCGCCGGCTGCTGGACGGCCTGGAGCCGCGCCATCCGCTGCTGGCCGAGCCGGCGCGCCGCGCGCTGCAAGACGCCGCCGCCCGGCTGCAGACCGTGTCGGCCGAGACGCGGCAGCAGCGCGAGCGGCTCGACTCGCTGCTCGACCAGCTGACCGCCCACCAGGAGCTGGTGCGCGCCCACCACGACTGGAGCCGCGCCACGCACGACCAGATCCACGCCGTCTCCGGTGGGTGGCCGCCTGGGAGCTGCGCCGTCTGCAGTCGGCCTCCCTGTGGTGCCTGTCTGTCAGAGTGGGTGTGCGTGGGCTCGCCTCTGCGTGACGGGGAGCGCCCGATCACCTGTGTAGGGCGCCTCGTAGCCCCCTCCCCTCTGTTGTGTGTGTGTGTGTGTGTGTGTGTGTGTGTGTGTGTGTGTGTGTGTGTGTGTGTGTGTGTGTGTGTGTGTGTGTGCGTGTGCGTGTGCGTGTGCGTGTGCGTGTGTGTGTGTGCGCGTGTGGACCCCATCTCCCGTGGTGGGTGCGTCTGTGGTCTGGCAGCGTGCTATGCGGCCGTGAGCGCTGACGCCGTCCGGCGTGTCGGGCGCGGTGGGTGTGTCACTGGACCCCACCTCCCACGGTGGGTGTGTCTGAGAACCCCGTCTCCCGCGGTGGGTATGTCTGTGATCTTACAGCGCGCTATGCGGCCGTGAGCGCTGACGCCGTCTGCGCTGTCGGGCAGACACGGCTGGGGGTCGGACGGCGCTCGGCCAGCGGCGGGCGCGCGCTGCAGAGCTGGCGCGCCAGCTGGCCGAGGGCGCGCCGTCGCTGTCAGCGGTGACGGCCCAGGCCGACCGGCTGCGGCCGCTGCTGCCGACCAAGGCGGCCGCCGCGCTGCAGAGTCAGCTGCAGCAGGAGCAGTACGGCCTGGACCAGCTGCTGCTAGCTGTGCAGGAAGCACAGCACGCGCTCCAGGTCAGCAGTCCCCCTCCCCCCCCCCCCCCCCAGCGCCTCCAGGCACCGCCGGCCGTGCCCACGCAAGATCAGACCGCGAAGGAAATGCTGGGTTAAGTGTTGATATCAGGCAGCCTTACCCTGTGTTCACAACAAAGGTACAGCTCACGCAGCAAATGCAGGTCGATATGCATCGGGGCGTGGTTTAAAGCTTTCACTAGTGGACTGTCGGCCATCGGTCTTTTCTGTGGTAAACGCACCGCGGCGGGCGCTGTAGTCTTGTCTGTAGCCCGGTGTCACCGGTGCTTCACTCGATGGCCCGTTGAAAGCTTACTCGTATAGCATTGATGTGGAAAACTGTCACTGCCCTCGAGAGGGGTTGGCTTACAGTGGACACCCGCCGAGGGTGCCGAAAACAGGAGCTGACGATGCGTACCTGCGGCTTCTGCGTGGGATGGTGACGTCAGAGGTGGCGCTGGCTGTGATTGGCTGGGTGGCGCTGTTGGGCCAGGCCGGCCGTCGACAGTGGACGCTGACGTGGCCGCCGAGTGACGCGATGCTCGCCGTTCCCTGTCCGACAGTCGCGGCTGAGCCAGTGGTCCTCGTGCGAAGCGGCGTTAGAGTCGGTGGTCGGCTGGCTGAACGAGGCCGAGGCCACGCTCAAGAACCACTACACGCACAAGAGCACGCTGGAGGAGAAGGGGGAGCAGCTGAAGAAGTTCCAGGACCTGGACGCCAGCCTGCTGCAGCAGGAGGGCCGGCTGGACAAGCTGGCCGCCGATGTGCAGGAGCTGAGCAGGAGCAGCGGCGACAACCGCATGACCTTCATTGTCCAGCAGGCCGTCTCGCGCGCCAACAACGTCCAGGTCATGACCAAGGTGGGTCGGGTCACCGGGCGGCTGAAAGCGCAGCTTCAAACGGCGCACGCGCTGACCAAGCTAGCGAATCAAGGACGAGACAACGCTAGGCCAATGCGCGCGGATGCGTTTTGGGTCGCATTATTGTCGGTTTGCGCAAGCGAACCCTTGGTCTCAGTGGTGTTCCGTGTAAATCTTAACTATTTGCTTGTTCACGGAGTTTCGGTTTGCTTTTCGTGAGTCCGTATGTAACTGAGTGAATGCAAGACCGTCTTGGCTCGTGGTCTAAGTTTGGTTTTTGGTGAGCCTTTGCAGAACCGAGCGAATGCAAGGCTGTGATGCGAAATATCAGTCATAAGCAATAAATTGAGTCCTTTGATCGTGAAAATGCGGGTGCTTAAACGTTATTAAACTCCTGTCCGACATCTGACTCAGCATCCGGCCATGGTGATGGCTGCCTGTCGCGGTGTCCGTATGTCTGGCCATCCTGAGCCGGCCGTGCTGTGTTCCATGCAGGATCTCCTCTCTCGGTATGAGGAGGGCGTCCAGGAGCACCGCGCCTACGTACAGCAGTACAACACCTACCTGGCCGAGTTTTCTGGCTACCAGGAGCGCTTCGCGGCCGTGCAGGTGGGTCTGGACGCCGGCGGTCTGGGTGCGGAGAGTGGACACCGTCATCGTGCCGAGCTAGCGATGTGGTTCACCAGCTCGGCCAGCTGACGGTGCGGAGCCGCGTGCCTTGCGGAGGATGCAGTGCGACGCCTCGCGCAGGCGTGCTCTCCGCGCCCGCTTGTCCCCGCGCCGAGACGGACGCGCTGGCGGGTCGGCACCGGCGTGAAGCGGGCGCTGCCGCCGCCGCCGCCGGCTGACGGGCGCCACCGCCACCGACTGACGGGCGCCGCCGCCGCCGACAGCTGGCGCCGGTGCGCCGCTCGACGATGCAGCAGTCGCTGGAGACGCTGCAGCAGCTGCTGGCGACGCAGGCGGACGTCGGGCGCCAGCTGGCGACCGTCTGCCAGCTGGGCGAGCGGCTGTACACGGCCACCGCGCCCGACGGCCGCCAGCTGATCCAGACCCAGCTGGAGCAGCTGCAGGCTGCGCACGACACGCTCTACGACCAGCTGGCCAGCACCGAGAAACAGCTGCTGCTAAGCAACAACAAGTGCGTGATATGGCGCGGTGGTGCCCGGCGTCGCCGGAGCCATCACTGGGGACGGTGTGTTCTGACAGGTGGCTGTCGATCTCAGATAGCTGTCGTCGGGATGCCGTGCTTGCAATGATTGGATGCCAAGTGATCTAGATAAAAGGGAGATTGCGTGGTGCTCATAGTTCCCTGCGTTTTATTGTCTTCCTGTGGCCAGATGCGGCGGCGGTCTGGCGAGGAGCCAAGTCTACTAGTAAAGGGAAATTCAGGTCGGTAACACCGAAATAAGACGCTTACTTTTGATATGCGGAGCCCATCACCACGGCAGAAGCGCCGCCTGCCGCGCGGCTGGTCGCTGGTGTATGGTGCGGATGCGTGGCGGTGCGGCCGGTACGGTCGGTGGTGTGACTTTGCCGCTTGTGGCCGCCGTGCCCCAGGTTCTCCGGCTACGACGAGTCGGTGGCCGAGCTGCGCCGCTGGCTGGAGGAGGCGCGCGGCCGCGTGCCGGAGGAGCTGGAGCTCAAGGCCACGCTCGACGACAAATGCGACCAGCTGCAGACCTACCGTATGCTGCTGCACGACCTCGTGTCCCACCGGCAGGTGAGGGATCGTCGCGTCATGTCCCAGGAGCAGGTGAGGAATCGTCGCCTCGTGTCCCACCGGCAGGTGAGGGATCGTCGCGTCATGTCCCAGGAGCAGGTGAGGGATCGTCGCCTCGTGTCCCACCGGCAGGTGAGGGATCGTCGCCTCATGTACCAGGAGCAGGTCAAGGGTCGTCACCTCGTGTCCTAGCAGCAGGTCGGAGGTCGTCACGTCGTGTCCCAGCAGCAGGTCAGAGGTCACCTCGTGTCCTACCAGCAGGTCAGGGGTCGTCACCACTTGCCACAGCAGCAGGTCAGAGGTCGTCACCTGGTGTCCCGGCAGCAGGTCAGGGGTCGTCACCCCGTGTTCCAGCAGCATCACCCTCGGACCTCGTGTCGCGCCTGTATGTAGATCAAACCCAGATGCGTCAGGTCAGAGGACCGATGTTATGCGGGGAGATTTGATCAGTCAGTGATTGAGGGTATTGGCTGTGCGAGTGTGTGATAGTTGGCCCACCGCCCGTCAGGTACCATTCTGGCTGGTCCGAACATAAGCGTTTCGAGCTTGGCCCGGTGTCGCTGACGTGCTCCGTGGTTAGTCCGGCCGTAAGCCGTCCAGCGGGGCCGACGGGTTCGGCTGTGGTCGATGGTGTGATGGAACTGGTCCCGGAGAAGGTCGGCTACACGGCTGGTACTGATGTCGCACCGGTGGACGCCCTGCCGCGCCGGCCAAGTCCAGCGCCGGTCGTGACCCGCTGCGCGCCGCCTGGCCGCCAGGTGCTCGCTACCTGCCGGGAGAAGGGCGGTCAGCTGCCCGACCGGACAGACGAGGCCAGCCGATTGCTGGACGGTCTCGACCAGCAGCACCAGCAGATGCTCGACACGGTCCAGGTGTGCTCGCGATGTGCCGCTCCGGAGACGGCGCGCCGGACCGACGGCCGGCTGGCTTTCAGTCGACCGACCCCACGGGCCGGGAGAGGCGTGACAGTCGACTTCGCGGGCCGGGGGAGGCGTGACAGTCGACCTCATGGGTCTGGGGAGGGTGTGACAGCGGACCCCGGGCCGGGGGAGGGTGTGACAGCGGACCCCGAGCCGGGGAGGGTGTGACAGCGGACCCCCGGGGTGAGGGAGGGTGTGACAGCGGACCCCCGGGCCGGGGGAGGGGGTGACAGCGGACCCCCGGACCGGGGGAGGGTGTGACAGCGGACCCCCGGGCCGGGGGAGGGTGTGACAGCGGACCCCCGGACCGGGGGAGGGTGTGACAGCGGACCCCCGGGCCGGGGGAGGGGGTGACAGCGGACCCCCGGACCGGGGGAGGGTGTGACAGCGGACCCCCGGGCCGGGGGAGGGGGTGACAGCGGACCTCGCGGGCCGGAAGAGGGCCTGACAGCCGACCCTGCAGGCTCAGGGAGTGCATGATAGCATGGAGCGGCCACCGGGTGCAGCCCAGGACTGTGTCCGTGGTGTCCGTATCGGGCGGTGAGGTGACCTGCTGACTGCCATGGCGCCGGTGAAGTCGTCTGGCCTTCTTCAGGCATGTCCACTGACCAATAGCTGGCCTCGCAGACGCAGCCACATGTTGGACTCTTGACACAAGATGGCGTTACAGTCACAGCTGAACGTCATTTGAGCTTCAAACGACAAACGAAATTTGAACCATTCCATGCTGATATGACAGGTTGTGATGGTACATACTAAGAGCCCAGTATTTGTTGCTATAATTCATTTTATTTGAATTATTTAGGCTGTAAGATGTATCAAACCTATACACTTGAGAGTGGTCAGCCGTGCATCTGATGGTTGCTGATGGTTGTGTGACGACTCTGTCGGTCTCAGACCCAGGTGGAGCGGTACGAGGGCATCGTGGCGGACCACCAGCAGTACACCAGGGCCGTGCTGGACGCCCAGGAGTTCCTGGAGTCGACCCACTCGGCCATCGAGATGTGGGGTCGACCGCACGGCGAACTAGTCACCATCCGGGCCAACCTCGACAAGCTGAAGGTGCGCCCAGCGTCGCGCGGTCCGGCCCCGCCCCGCCCCGCCCCGCCGCGGTGGCGGGTGCGGCTGGTGGCAGTACTGCGCTTGGGCCTAGAGTCCGGTCACTCACGGACCGGTAGCGGGGTGTAGACTCCCCTGCAGTCATTTTCCGCTGTTTTCTGGGTGCAGTATGCGCATAAAGTTGTGGCAGTGGTGATCGTTGATGTGGCATGCGTCGGTGGTACGTTCGCTCTGGGAATGAGGCCGTGTTTCCATTTCGGGCTAATTCGTTATTCTGTTTCATTGCAAGCGTTTCCGATGTGGGTCGTGGTAGCGGTGGGCGGAGGTCTGTGGCTGGTGGGGTGTCCGTCAGCGGTGGGCGGAGCTCCGTGCCGTGTTCTGTGGCTGGCGGGGTGTCTGCTTTCGGCCGTGGCCAGCGTCGTTTCTGTTTGGTGGACAGACGCTGAAGGCCGGCCTGCTGGACGAGGCGGCCAGGGTGACCCAGGTGCAGACCGTGGGCGAGAAGGTGATCCCCAACACCAGCCCGCTCGGCCAGCAGAACGTGCGCGCCCAGATCGAGAGCACCGAGCAGGAGTGGCAGGGTCTCATCTCGTCAGCGGAGTGAGTGATGACGCGCGCTGGGGCAGGCTGGGCTCCCCCCAGGCTCTGGCCAAGCAACGCCAGATCATGGCCTTTCGAGGGAGGCACGGTGTGGCGCAGTGGAGACTGAACCACTTTCTTACAGGTTGAGGGGATGGCCCCGCTGGAAGTTTTTCAGTGAGATATGTAAAAGGTGGCGCAGTATGCTGTGATCTATATGAAATTGTTCTTTTCGCCAATCCTTGCTTTATGCTGCGGCAATGGTGGAAGATATTCGTTTTAACAAGTAGCCATGCAGGTTGGGAGTACGCGTCCAAAACTGGCGGCAATGTAAGTGGCGCTCAAATATAGCAGCACAGTCGGCAGCAGCGGCGCATTGAAGTTTTGATAGACAAGATGCCGCAGAAGTGGCAAGGTTGTCATTGTTTCCCGGATCTTGGGCCCAAAATGATGCCCTTTTTAGATCAGGACTTCGCCTTATTAAGAGGTTATAAACTTTCTGGACGGTCAAATCCCCGTAAGATAACTTCCCAGATCCATTGGAGGCGCGCATCATTGAGAGTCCAAATTTTGACGTTGGATAGTAAGTCAGCACACACACGCACACACACACACCACGTGCGCGCGCGTGCGCGCGCGTGGTGTGTGGCACACGCACGCGCACGCGCACGCGCCCGCGCCCGTGCACACGCACATGCACACGCACACAAACAAACAATGTTTACACAACAAACTTGTCGCATGTAACGATTAGATAAGCCGGATGTGGAGGAAAGGGCGAGGCATGGAAGCAGGCGATCGTGGCACACTGCGTAAAATACAGACAATGGGGGGAAATAGCCTTGGTTGCAAAATGCCGGGCATTGCCACTTAAGTTTGTGTGGCAATGGTTTCAGGCCTAGACAAAATAATGTGAAGCGGAGCGCCGTGGCTGGGTTCCAGGGAATGCACAGCTTTGCGTACTGTTTTTGACAGTACCAACAGAACACTTGCAAGCGACGGAATCCATGTGGCATGACATTGACTGTTGCAGAATGGTGAAAATAAGTCGAAGTACCTACTGGTAGCTAACCAATTCGGTTGCCTTTGGTTCTGTAACCCATAACACAAACATCGTTAATCCGAGCTCCAGTGACGCGCTGAGGGCGTCTTGCGCTCGCTGATAACCCACTATAACATCCGCCCTGCTCTGACTTGAATCGCCGTGTGTGGTGACGCGTGTCTTCCGGTGGCGGAGACGGCCGGCGGGCGGCTCTGTGGGGCTCGCGAGACCCGCGGCGGCGCGCACCCAGTGTACACCCGTGGGGGCGGTGTGCACCCAGTGACGCCGGCGTCGTTCTTGTTCTAGGGGCGGCCGAGGGCTGGAGTAAGTTAACATAATCAAACCTTTCTTTTTCTCTCTCTCATGTGGCTTAAAGGCTTTATTAACAGCACATCGCTGCAGTGCGTCTGGCGTGTTATTTGTCGTTGTGCTTCGTACCCCGTAGGCACGCCGGCACGCCCTCTTTCGCCGCTGCTGCGTAGCTGTCGTATTTCGGAACAATTTGTTTGGAACTAGTTGGCGACAGCTGACATCTAGCGTGGTAGCCCCGTGACTGGAGCAGCTTTTTCCAGACCGGCCTCTCCTCTTCAGCAGCGCTTTCAGTGAACGGTCGTGCATACGGAACGCCATGAAAGTGCTCTATGCACCTTATTTCGATCTATTGTAACTGGTTCACAGCAGCGGACATTCGGGACATTTTGACCGTGACGGTAAATCCGTTGTAACAAGGACTGGTGCAGCTGTACCTACTGTTCTCATCCGTATTTCCGACTGCTGGAATCGTGCCTCCTTCCCTGCTGCGGTGGGCACAACTTTTTGTGCCGTTTGTCTTTGCCTGTCCTGTTGAAATGTGCATGCGGGACGGCGACACCGAGTATCTAGAGATGACTCGCTGCAGTCCGCCGCACAGTCCTGGCGATCAGATGTGATGCGCTCTCTGTCTTGCCCTGGAGGTACGCCGGTTCCGGCTGCCGGCCGGTGGTTCAGCTGTGATGCGCTCTCTGTCTTGCCCTGGAGGTGCGCCGGTCCTGGATGCCGGCCGGTGGTTCAATGTGATGCGCCCTCTGTCTTGCGGGGGAGGTGTGCCGGTCCTGGATGCCGGCCGGTGGTTCAATGTGATGCGCTCTCTGTCTTGCGGGGGAGGTGTGCCGGTTCTGGATGCCGGCCGGTGGTTCAGTGTGATGCGCTCTCTGTCTTGCCGTGGAGGTGTGCCGGTCCTGGATGCTGGCCGGTGGTTCAATGTGATGCGCTCTCTGTCTTGCGGGGGAGGTGTGCCGGTTCTGGATGCCGGCCGGTGGTTCAATGTGATGCGCTCTCTGTCTTGCCCTGGGGGTGTGCCGGTCCTGGATGCCGGCCGGTGGTTCTGCTGTGCTGGGCTCTGTCTTGCCGTGGAGGTGTGCCGGTCCTGGATGCCGGCCGGTGGTTCAATGTGATGCGCTCTCTGTCTTGCGGAGAGGTGTGCCGGTTCTGGATGCCGGCCGATGGTTCAATGTGATGCACTCTCTGTCTTGCCGGGGAGTTGCGCCGGTCCTGGATACCGGCCGGTGGTTCAATGTGATGCGCCCTCTGTCTTGCCGGGGAGGTGTGTCGGTCCTGGATGCCGGCCGGTGGTTCTGCTGTGCTGAGCTCTCTGTCTTGCCGTGGAGGTGTGCCGGTCCCGGCTGCCGGCCGGTGATGACACGGCAGTGTTCTGTTGTGACGGTGGCAGCTCTGATGCGGCTAAAGCCCTGCTACTCGTCCGGATGAAAGATGATCACCCCCGCAGCCTGCCAGCGCCGGGCCGGGCGGCGGGTGTGTTCGACGTCTGTTCGTGAATGGCCGGGCCGGACCGGGCGGCGGGTGTGTTCAGCGTCTGCGCGTGAGCGCCCGGTACCGCCCTCGAGCCGGCGCCGGGCCGGGTGGCGTTCGACGTATGCTCGTGAGCGGCCTGGCGGCGGTGTGTTCGGCGTCTGCTCGTCAGCGATCAGCGCTTTGTTACGACTATGCTGACGGCGCCGCTCGGCAGCGCCGCCATCGCCGGCCTGCAGCGAGTGCTGGACCAGTGGAGCCGGTTCGAGCAGATGAAGGACTCGTGGGCCGCTTGGCTCAAGGAGACGGACAGCAAGCTGCACGCCGTCACCCTCAAGGACACCCTGCAGCAGAAGAAGGACCAATTGGAGGAGCTGCAGGTGAGGATGTCGACCCGACGCACGGACTGCCGGCCAGACACGGTCTCCAGTGATCTGCGGCAGTGAGCGTCAGTCACGCACCAGGGCTGCCCACGTAAGAAGGAGACGTCTCCCATGATGAAAAGTGAGGCCAAAGGGTACCGAAATGTCCTGTCGTGTGTGACGCAGCCTCAGATGGCGACCAGCCAACTTCTGTCACCGACTATCACACGCGTCCGTGTCCTGCACTGGGCAGAGCATCCAGGGCGAGGTGCGTGCACGCGAGCTGGAGATCGACGCGCTGACAGACCGCGCCCACGAGCTGAGCTCGTCCTGCACGGGCGGCCGCCAGTCCCAGCACGACCAGATCATCGCCAAGTACCAGCAGGTGTCCCAGACGGTCCAGGTGAGCGTCCGCCGGCGGCCGGGTGCTGCGCCGTCGGCGCCCTACCGGACCGGCCAGAGCGATGCCGTCAGCTTGGTGTGCGTGGATACGTGCCGTGCTCTCGATCTGCGAGTGTGTCGCGCGCCGCCGCAGTCTGTCCGCCTGACGGGCCGGGTGTGTGCGCAGGAGCTAGTGAGCTGCTGGCAACAGTATGTGGCCAGCCACAGCGACTACAGCCGACAGCTGGACGAGACGACGGCGTGGCTGCGCGACGTCGGCTCCAAGCTCGACTACTGCTCCGACCTGTCGGCCGCCTCTCAGAAGGAGCTCGAGGCCAAGCTAGCCACCGTCAAGGTGCGGCGCCGCTCCGGTGACCGGCTCGGCAGGCAGGCAGCCGCTGAACCGAAACGTGTCGCCTTGGAATGTGTAGCGGCTGGTCTCCGTGGGCTGAAGTAAGCGTTTGTTCTTGGTTCAATGGCCGGAGCTGGCTGGGAGGCAGACTTTACTCACTGCCTTTGAAAGCTGTGTTTGTATGTTACGTTGGTTGGTGACCGGTGTGGCGCCGACTGCGCCTCGCTCCGCTCCCGTCTTATCGAGCTGCTGGCTTCGACGCAGGATCTGCTGCTGTACAAGGACGAGGGCTTTAAGCGGGTGCACGCCGCGGTGGACCTGGGCCACCAAGTGCTTCGCAACACCGAACCCACCGGCCACCCGGCCGTCAGTCAGCAGCTGACGGCGCTGCACGACAGTTGGGGCTCGATGGCCACCCGCATGGCCGAGACCAAGGTGGGAGGCAGCGCCATCTGTCGGCACGGCCGCGTGCCGGGCTGCCCGCCGTCAACAGCGGGGCCCGCCGAGGGGTCAGCACAGGCGAACAGGCCTGCACACGCGCACCCGCACTCCCACGCGCATACGCACACGTGCACACGCACGCACTCGCACATACGTACACGCACACGTACACATGCATACACGCGCGCGCGCGCGGACACCTCTACGCGCTCGCGCGTAGAGGTGTCCTGTCGGGTTGACCGGACCTGAGTTACCCCTTGTTATAAGAAAGGCAAAGGCTCCTGTTTTTTTTCGCATTATGAGTTGAAAGCCTGTAATGTTTAGTTGGTCCTCAGCAGTTCGTTGATTTGTGTTTTCGGGCGCGTCGACTGCAGTGGTCATTTTGCGCCCAGGTCCTCAGCAGGATGAGTATAGGAGTGCACAGTTAATATCAGAAACCAGTACGTCCTGGTATGCTGACGGTCGTTAACACAACATCAGAACTTTCCACTAAAAATGCTTGGGGCCGCGGCCGCACTGTCTTCATGCCGGCAACTGGCCTGACCTGGGTGAGCTGGAGAGGGCCATGTGTGTTGCGCCGGTGATCGGACTCGGCCGCCGCCGCCTCAGAGCAACCTGACCTGGGTCAGCCGGAGAGGGCCATGTGTGTTGCGCCGATGATCGGACTCGGCCGCCGCCGCCTCAGAGCAACCTGACCTGGGTCAGCCGGAGAGGGCCATGTGTGTTGCGCCGATGATCGGACTCGGCCGCCGCCGCCTCAGAGCAACCTGGACGAGGCGATCCAGCGCTGGGCCGGCTTTTTGGAGGAGATCCAGCGCCTGAAGCGCACCGTCGACCAGACGAGCGCCGTGCTGCAGGAGGCGGCACACTTCCAGACCACCATGTCGGAGAAACGCGCCCAGCTGGACCGCTTGAAGGTGGGTGTCGGCCTCATGTCGCACTGCTGGAGCGTAATCGTGCGGGCGGTACCGCCTGCTGGCGCCGTGGTCGGTCGGATCCGCGCACCGCCGGGCCGCCCGGGCGTCGGTGCCGCCGCTGACGTGTACCCTCGCGCCCTCTGCCGGCCGCCAGACGCTGGAGGAGAGCCTGCGCTGTGAGAAGTACGAGGTGGACAGCCTGAAGGCCAAGGCGGCCGAGATGCTGGCCTCTGGCCACCAGACGCAGGCGGCGGCGCAGGCGCAGCAGATCCTCAACCAGTACGGCCAGATGGCCGACCGAACCAAGGTCTGTCTCAGCCCATCCGGTGTGCTAGGCGAGGGGGGTTGGGCCTCGGCTCGTGGCAGGAGGTCGGGTCCGACGGTAGGGGGCTCAGTAGGCTGCTTTCCAGCGAAACAGGAGTGATGGGCGTGTTCGTGGGGTGGTTTACACCGAGGAGGCCCCTGCTCGGGACATTTCCTTTGCACTGACGATACCTCCGGCTTGTCAGACTCGCGACAGTGGGAAACAGGATTGCATAACAACACGACACTTAATACGTCACTGTCCTCGGTCGTGTAGAGTTGCAGCATCCGTGTTGTTAGAATCCGTACCGATCCGTGCAATCGGAGGTCTGAACGAAATAAAACAGGCGTGAGTACGGTCTGTAACACCCTTGGGAGCTGCTGTCGGAACTGGACCTGCCCTGCCCTGCCCTGCCCTGCCCTGCCCTGCCCTGCCCTGCCCTGCCCTGCCCTGTTCTGTTCTGTTCTGTTCTGTTCTGTTCTGTTCTGTCCTTTCCTGCCCTGCCTTGATCTGACCTGATACGGCCGACAGCTGTTGCGCCGCGAGCGGGAGGAGCAATACAAGCACCACCGCAGCTGGAAGCAGGCGCTGGACGAGTTCCAGGCGTGGATGTCGGGTGTGCGGGAGAAGGTGCCGGCCGTGCGCCAGAGGTCGTTCGGTGACCGCTCGGCCATCGAGAGTGTAGTCGCCGCGCTGGATGTGAGTACGGCTGTGCTGCAGACAGCGGCGGCCAGCCTTCAGGTTCGCACCGTGCAGAGGACATCCGTCTCACGGCCGTGCAGAGGACATCCGTCTCACGGCCGTGCAGAGGACATCCATCTCACGGCCGTGCAGAGGACGTCCGTCTCACGGCCGTGCAGAGGACGTCCATCTCACGGCCGTGCAGAGGACATCCGTCTCACGGCCGTGCAGAGGACATCCGTCTCACGGCCGTGCAGAGGACGCCCACCTTCAGGTTCGCACCGTGCAGAGGACATCCGTCTCACGACCGTGCAGAGGACGTCCATCTCACGGCCGTGCAGAGGACATCCGTCTCACGGCCGTGCAGAGGACGTCCATCTCACGACCGTGCAGAGGACGTCCATCTTACGGCCGTGCAGATGACGTCCATCCCACGGCCGTGCAGAGGACGTCCATCTCACGGCCGTGCAGAGGACGTCCATCTCACGGCCGTGCAGAGGACATCCGTCTCACGGCCGTGCAGAGGACATCCGTCTCACGGCCGTGCAGAGGACGTCCATCTCACGGCCGTGCAGAGGACGTCCATCTCACGGCCGTGCAGAGGACGTCCATCCCACGGCCGTGCAGAGGACGTCCATCTCACGGCCGTGCAGAGGACGTCCATCTCACGGCCGTGCAGAGGACGTCCATCCCACGGCCGTGCAGAGGACGTCCATCTCACGGCCGTGCAGAGGACGTCCATCTCTCACGGCCGTGCAGAGGACGTCCATCTCTCACGGCCGTGCAGAGGACGCCCACCTCTCATAGCCATGTAGAGGACGCCCACCTCTCATAGCCATGTAGAGGACGTAAAGAAAACCCATCTCTGACAGCGGTGCAGAGGACGCCCATCTCTCATGGCAACCCGCTCAACTTGTTCACGAACGGTGAACAGATGTGGGCACCGTGATGACGATGTCACTGTATCGGCGCGGCGTCCCGGGGCGGCGTGGACTCGTGTTGTGTCCGTGCCACCGGGTGGGCCGACTGCCGCTCCTGACCGGAGCCTGCGGCGGCCGCAGAGCATCCTGTGCAAGCAGCCGGCCGGCCAGCTGACCCTGGAGCACCTGGTGCACACGGGCGACGTCATGCTGGCCTCCACCTCGGAGCAGGGCCAACTCGAGGTCCGTCAGGACGTGGCCGCCGCCCAGCAGCAGTTTGAGGAGTTCTTCAACGGTACGGCGGGGCGGGGCGGGTTGGGGTGGGGCGGAGTGCCACTGGCCAAGCCAGCCGCGGTCGCTCGGACACGCCGCGGTCTCATCTGCTTGACTGCCGTCCCGGCGGCGGCGCTGGTCCGGTCGCACCAGAGCCGCAGTGTCACTGGTCAGCGATGGTTTTAAGATACGTTAGGGCTGTATACCGCGCGGTCTGAGTCCGAGCCCTCCTACTCGGAACAAGGCGATGGTATGCGATGTTGACCACGTCAATGTTCCGCCGATGAGCCGTTTTTGGGACCGGATGTGTGACTGTGTGCGCCCGTCTGCCGCCTCTGCCAGAGCTGACAGCAGGGCTTTGTGCGTGTGCGTGCTGCAGATATCCGGCAACAGAAGCGTAATTTAGAGACGATCGAGAGCCAGCTGAAGGCCTACAAGGACGAGTACGAGCGACTCAGCGACTGGCTGCAGGCCGCTGACGTCCAGGTCAAACAGCACAAGACGGTGTTCGTCGCCACGCTCGAGGAGAAGCAGCGACTCGTCAAGAAGATCAAGGTGGGGATCGGTCGGGGTCCGGCCACAGTCAAGCGGCCGGCGCCGCGCTACGCCGCGCCAGCCTGGCCTGTGAGGCCGCTGGGGCCGGACTCTGTCGGTCCGGCCGTCTGACGCTGAGGGCTTCTGGAGTAGACGCGTCCGTCTGTTGGGCCGCTCTAGGTCTGGGTCATGAGTGAAAACGATCCGATCATCAGGACGCACGCGTTGTATGTGATTTGTAAAGGGACGGACGCAGTGGGCCGATGCCCGCTGGTCTGGCCACGCTGTGTGCCGGCCGTGACCCGCGCTCCCTTGCCGCGACAGGACGTGTGCAAGGGCCTGGAGTCTGGCGCCGACGACATCGACCGGCTGCAGACCAGCGCCGCCGGTCTGCTCGCCTCCCACCTGGAGGGCTACATCAGCCAGCAGATGCGACACCTTGCCTCGCGCCACCAGGTACACTGGACGCGCGCGCCACGCTCACACGGACGCCGGTTGCAGGTGGCAGAAGGCCAGCCGCGGAGAGCCGCTCCGCCGAACAGCCGAGTAGGCTGAAGGCAGAAGAGTGCCTTTGCAAAGACACGGCCCGCGCGCTGTCACGCAGCTACCGTCGCCCGCGGTGTGTGCAGGGAACGATACCAGCCTTGTTAGCCTGACTATGACCCGGATGTTGGAGGCCGACAGCCACGGCAGTGACGGCTGTCGTGTGACGCTTGACGTGTGTGGCTGAAGGCGGCTGGAGGGCCTGGCCAGCCGCGGCCCACCAGCCGAGCGGCAGTGCTGGCCGCGGCCGGCGGCGCGCAGGTGGGGCTGGCGTCTGACGCTGGCGCTCCGGCGGCCGCAGGTGCAGGTGAACCTGGCGCGCGACGTCGAACGCAAGCTGGAGGCGGTGGCCGACCAGCACTCCCAGTTCGAGGCCGGCCTGGCGCGCGCCGCCGCCTGGATGGAGGAGGCACGCGCTGTCATTCGCGGCCGCTCCGGCTCCGGCTCCGGCTCCGGCTCCGGCTCCGGCTCCGGCTCCGGCTCGGATGGCGAGCCGGACGCGGGCCGGACGGCTGTCGAGCAACACCTGAAGGCGGTCCAGGTCAGTGTCGCTGGCTCGGTGGCCGCTCCGGCTGGACGCGTCGGACCATGTCCGGCTCGCGCCGTGTGCGTGTGTGCCGGGCGATGCAGCAGGCTCAGTCGGCTGTGTGCGCCTGTAGACCGCGGAGGGCCGGCCGGACTGTACTCGGAAGCCGGGCGCGCCCCAGCGCCGTCCTGGCGCTTTGTGCGACGGCGGGGGCTGGCGGCGCCGCTACAGACGGTGCCGCGTTGGTGCGGCCAGCCGCAGTGCGCCTCCGACCATCCATGCGCCGGTAACCATGCACCTCGGCGGGCCGTGTGGCCTGGCCTGCGATCTGACCTGCGGTCTGACCTGTGGCCTGACCTGTGGCGGCGCTCCGCTCGCCAGGAGCTGGTCCGCAACCAGGACGAGGGCCAGCTGCTGGTGCATCAGGCGGCCAGCCTGGGCGAGAAGGTGCTGCGCAACACGCACTCCTCCGGCCGTGATGACGTCAAGCAGGCCATGAAGGACATCCAGAACGACTGGGACCGCTTCATCAAGAAGCTCGCCAACGCCAAGGTAGGCTGTCAGCCCGGCGGTCGTCTCAGTCCAGCGGCGCGGCATTGGCTCGGGTAGAGGGCGGCGGCCGCTGGTACTGGTACTGGTACTGGTACTGTGCTGCCCGCGCTGCTGGTGCCGTGCCCGTGCGACGACCTAAACCGTCCTGAGCTGCGTCTCACGCGATGTTGGCCCGTGCTGGTGTTCTGACGTGGCGCGACCTGACGTGACGTGACCTGACCTGCGCGGCGACCCAGGTCCAGCTGGAGACGAGCCTGCTGCAGTGGTCGGACGCGGGCTCGACATACGCGCGGCTACAGCGCTGGATCTCGGACCGCGAGGCTCGCCTGCAGCAGGTGCTGGAGCGCCGGCCGGCCGCCCAGAAGGACCAGCTGGCCAGCCTTGGCGACAAAAAGGTCGCCCTGCGACGCACCAACAGCATCATGCAGGTGAACGCAGCCACCGAGACGCGCTGGAGCCAGCCGGGGTGTAGGTGACGAGCTGCCGGGCTGGCAGGCGGCGCCGGCCGGGGTGCAAGTGACCGGCCGCTGGGCTGGCGGGCGGCGCCGGCCTGGGTGCCGCTGCCGGCCGCTGGGCTGGCAGACGGTGCCAGCTAGAGCGCGCAGATAAAGGCCACCACGGCAGCAGCACTGCACCGTCGGGTTATTGGCTCACAACCGTCAAAGTCGTCACCGTTTCGGTATTGTTGAGTTGAGCCACGTTTTACGAGCACGCTGTTTGTGCTCCGTGCGTCTGTTTCGACCGGTACAAAGGTCACCGCGCGGTCGCCTGCGGGCCTGGTCTCGGCCCGGCCGGCCCTGCCGTGCCGATGGCAAGGCCGGCAGGGCCGGGTTGGGAGAGGCATGCCTCGGCTGACCGTCCTGCCTGTCCTGCCGCGCCGGGGGCAGGGCCGGCCCGGTCGGGGGCCGAGCCTCGGCTGACCGTCCTGCCGGTCCTGCCGTGCCGGGGGCAGGGCCGGCCCGGTCGGGGGCCGAGCCTCGGCTGACCGTCCTGCCTGTTCTGCCGCGCCGGGGGCAGGGCCGGCCCGGTCGGGGGCCGAGCCTCGGCTGACCGTCCTGCCGGTCCTGCCGCGCCGGGGGCCGAGCCTCGGCTGACCGTCCTGCCGGTTCTGCCGCGCCGGGGGCCGAGCCTCGGCTGACCGTCCTGCCGGTTCTGCCGCGCCGGGGGCCGAGCCTCAGATGGCCGTGCTCCCGGCCTTGCCGCGCCGGGGGCCGAGCCTCGGCTGGCCGTGCTCCCGGCCTTGCCGCGCCGGGGGCCGAGCCTCGGCTGGCCGTGCTCCCGGCCTTGCCGCGCCGGGGGCCGAGCCTCGGCTGACCGTCCTGCCGGTTCTGCCGTGCCGGGGGCCGAGCCTCAGATGGCCGTGCTCCCGGCCTTGCCGTGCCGGGGGCCGAGCCTCGGCTGACCGTCCTGCCGGTCCTGCCGCGCCGGGGGCCGAGCCTCGGCTGGCCGTGCTCCCGGCCTTGCCGCGCCGGGGGCCGAGCCTCGGCTGGCCGTGCTCCCGGCCTTGCCGCGCCGGGGGCCGAGCCTCGGCTGACCGTCCTGCCGGTCCTGCCGCGCCGGGGGCCGAGCCTCGACTGACCATGCTCCCGGCCTTGCCGCGCCGGTGGCAGGGCCGGCCCGGTCGGGGGCCGAGCCTCGGCTGACAGCGGCGCGCTGCCCGCAGGACATCGTCTCGTTCCAACCGATGATCGCGTCGGTGACAGCCGGCTCGACGGAGGGCGCGCGCGGCCGCCGCCACCACGCCGCCGAGATCAGCACCAAGTACGAGACGCTCAGTCGCCAGGCGCGTGAGGCGTACGAGCGGCAGAAGGCGCTGGTCGAGCAGCACGGCGCCTTCATCGACGCCGCCGGCGAGTTCATCAGCTGGCTGCAGACGGCCCGCGAGCGGCGCGCCAAGTGCGCCGAGCCCACCGGGCACCGCGACGCGCCTCGCCTCCCGCATGAACTCGCTTAAGGTACTGCGCGGCGGCCGCCGCTGCGCCCGCTGGTCGGCCGGGGTTTGGCTTGTTTTGAAGTCGGTGCGGTGTTCGTGCTAAGCCGCCCCGATTTGTTGTCCGGACGTGCGCTTTGTGCGGTGAGAAGCAGTTTTTAAGCTAGTTTTCTAATGCGTTCCACTCCCGTCTCAAGGTTGCGAGCTCAAGTTTCCCCACCCTCTTATGCGATTGCATGATATATAATAAAATAAATATATACGATATATAATGCGATTGGTAACTCTGAAAGTGGTAGATCTATTTCTACTGGTCTTTGATAGGAATGTAACCAAACTATTCAGCGTAAATACCCAGCTTCAAGTTACTCGTAATGAAACTTCCGAGCGCAGTTTTCCATTTCTGTCACGGCCTGCCAGATGCCCGCAAGCTGTCGGGCCCGGCCGCTGTGGTCGGCGTCGGGTACCGCCGGGTCTTGCTGACCGTGACGCCTTGTGCTTGGGGCCGGCAGCTGCTGGAGGCTGACCTGGCCGAGGGGCAGACGTTGCTGGAGACGGCGCTTCAGCTGGCAGAGGCCGCCTGCCAGGTGGCGGAAGATGACGATGACCGCGAGGTCATCGAAGAGCAGGTGGCCAAGCTGCAAGCGCAGATGGACGACTACAAGTGAGTGCTGCCCGTCCTGCACTGGGAGTTTTCAACTCGCCTCGTTGTGTGTGTGTTGTGAATTGGATGCGTTGGATATTGCCGATAGCGGTGAAGGCCTTACCGTGCGCTGTGTCGTGCCGCACCGGCGGCCGCTGTCGGCAGACGTCTCTGTGCGCTGTGTCGTGCCGCACCGGCGGCCGCTGTCGGCAGACGTCTCTGTGCGCTGTGTCGTGCCGCACTGGCGGCTGCTGTCGGCAGACGTCTCTGTGCGCTGTGTCGTGCCGCACCGGCGGCCGCTGTCGGCAGACGTCTCCGTGCGCTGTGTCGTGCCGCACCGGCGGCCGCTGTCGGCAGACGTCTCTGTGCGCTGTGTCGTGCCGCACCGGCGGCTGCTGTCGGCAGACGTCTCTGTGCGCTGTGTGTGTCCGTGTCCAGCTGTCGGCGTCGGCGGCGGCTGACGCCCCGCTGCCTCGCAGGGAGACAGTGGCGTCCACGCGCGACCTGCTTGAGACGGGCGTGGTCAAATGGAACCAGTACGAGGATCGTCTGGCGCAGTGTCAGGCCTGGATCAGCGACAAGGAGCGTGAAGTGCAGGCCTACAGCGGCCTGCACGGCGGCCTGCAGGAGAAACAGACGGCAGTTGAGGCCTTCCAGGTGAGCGGCAGCCCAGATGGCGCCTGAAGTGACGCCGCCGCCGCCAGTGACGCACCGGCATGGGCAAGTCACTAACCCACACCGATCACAGTGGTCGGTACGGGTGGTGTGGAACCTCTCCCAGCTTATGGATTTGAAACCGATTGGTTTAGATTTTGGGCTCTGCCATGTACCAGTTTGTGATGCGCGTCGCTGCGAGCATTCAGATCTTGATACTTTCGTTTCCGTTGTGCTACAAAAGCTTATGTTCAGTCTGCCAGATAGTGGGATCTCGGCCAAGAATGAATCTTGAACCATTTGGGGAGGGACACCTTCGGCTGGGGGGGGGGGGGGGGAGGAGGGGGCCGGGTGTCCGTGAAAGTCTAGAAGGATGTTTTCATTTCCAAAACACAGCGGATTTTGCTTCCTTTTACCTTAAGGAGTTTCCTGAAACATGTTTCCGTCCGTTGAAGATGCTTCGTTTTTCCCCAGAGTTCAAGGACGTGTTTTTGGCCCAACTTGGATCATTTTGAGGGGGTGGTGCATGACCTAGTTGGCCCCTTGGATCCGCCCCTGCTGGCACCCTGTGCTGCCTCCCTGAAGACACCAATGTCGAATGTTTCCAGCGGCCGTGCACCAGTCTGCGGCGTGTGTCAGTGGCTCTGATGGCGGCGGGTCCCGCTCTGCGTTCCCAGACGCTGCTGTCGGACATGTACGAGTGGCAGGGCACGCTGGACGAGCTTAACGTCACGGCCACCCTGCTGCTGGACAACTGCGCCGACGCGCGTATCGCCAACTCGGTGGCCCAGCTGACCACCAAATATAACGCACTGCAAGCGCTTGCCAAGGACGTGTTCCGGCGGCTGGAGGTGGCCCATCTGGTACGTGTCGCAGTGCCTGGAGGTGGAGATGGCTCACCCAGAGCGTGTGTCCGTGCTCGGCGGGGGCTGCCAGGCGCCACTTAGGACGTGTACTCGCTTGCATATGAGTGCATGGTAATCTGAGACAGTTGAGGCAGCCGACAGGAATCCTAATCGAAGAAGCCATTGCGCTTAGGGGCGATGGAGGCCAGGCTGTTGACATGTGGCGTGGTTTTTGGACAGAGTGGCATTTCATCATTGATATGGCCAATTGAGAATATCGCTTAGTGTCAGTCAACTGACGTTTTTGTTTCGGCTTTAGTCCCGGACTCGCATGCTATGTGTAGATTTGTTTCCCAGATCACTCCAGTGGAGCCCCCTCGCTATTCGATATAGCTCCGGCCAGTCAGTCGTGTGCTGACTGGTGGGCTGATCACCACGCCATGTCAGTGGTGTGCTGACTGGTGGGCTGATCACCACGCCATGTCAGTGGTGTGCTGACCGGTGGGCTGATCACCACGCCATGTCAGTGGTGTGTTGACTGGTGGGCTGATCACCACGCCATGTCAGCGGTGTGCTGGCTGGTGGGCTGATCACAACGCCATGTCAGTGGTGTGCTGACCGGTGGGCTGATCACCACGCCATGTCAGTGGTGTGCTGACCGGTGGGCTGATCACCATGCCATGTCAGTGGTGTGTTGACTGGTGGGCGGATCACCACGCCATGTCAGTGGTGTGCTGACCGGTGGGCTGATCACAACGCCATGTCAGTGGTGTGCTGACTGGTGGGCTGATCACCACGCCATGTCATTGGTGTGCTGACCGGTGGGCTGATCACCACGCCATGTCATTGCGGGCTCCGCGGTGTGTGGGCCCCGCCGCGCGCCGGGCCCGCTGTGTCCGGTGCGGCAGAGCCCGCGGGAGCACGGCTCAGAAGTGGCTTGAGCTCAGCTCGCTGTCCCGCCCGCTGCAGTCACTGCGGTCCGGCCTGCTGAAGGCCCAGGCCGGCCCAGCCCGCTGTGGTCACAGCCGGTCCCGCCTGCCGGAGACCAAGGTCGGTCCGGCCCGCTGACGGTTCGTGCCCTGCGTTCCGCCAGGAGCACAAGCAGCATTCGGCGCTCTGTCACGAGATCGACGAGTGGATGGAGAAGACGCGCGAGAAGCTGGCGGAGACGGCGCCGCTTTCTAATCGACACTCGGAGCTGCTGACCAAGCTGCAGACGGTGCAGAGTCTACGGGCTTCGGTAGAGCAGGGCCAGAAGAAGCTCAGGTGGGCGGTGCGGGGCCACCAGCAGCGGTGAAGCGTCGCCCCGTCCCGCTGGTCGCGGTCTTGAGCTGCTGGCACTTGTTTCGCAGCTGGCGCGGCCTCGCTGCCTGCGGTTAAAGCGCGCCTCTCAGATCAGTGTGCGCGGGGCTGCAGAGTATAGCAAATCAGTGATCAGACCCGTTGCGGATGTTTTGTTTCTCTTAGTTGGAGCGGTGGACCGGAGTGGGCGCACCTCACGTCTGATTAGTTCTGCGGTGATGATGCTCATACTCTACACCGATGACGGGCACATCGAAGGAAATGCTTACGAGTTTTTCCTTGAACACATGTCCCTTCCACATTCCCATTCATGAGTTGTATGAGGTCGTCACCGTTCTGTCCGCGCGCTTATAAAGTTAATGGTCAAGAGTATGTAGTTCGCCATCGCAAACATGCGCGTCTTTTTGCGACATTTCGGGAGCGGGTCGCGCGCAGTGCGCACCATGGCGTAGCGTGACACGGTATGTGGAACTCTTTCAGCTTAAATTGTCCTCTGAGCCGAAATTGCCCTTCTGCCGTGTGGTGCGCTGGTAGGAACTGCGGCGCGCTCTGCTGAGCAAGGACTGATACCACAACGTTGTCTTGTTTTGTCCAGTCTCGCATTGGTGCTGAAGCTTATCAGACTCTTACAAACGACATCAGTACCGTCGCCATGATGGTAACGCTGGTCGCGTGACGTGGCGCGCCGCTGACATCGGGCGTGGCGCACTGTGACGCGATGCCGCTGACGCCGGGCGTGGCGCGCTGTGACGTGACGCCGCTGACGCCGGGCGTGGCGCGCTGTGACGTGACGCCACTGACGCCGCGCCGTCGGACGCCAGGTACGCGCTGGAGCTGAAGGAGCGCGTCATCATGAACACGGCCGAGGCGGGCGTGGCCAAGATCCAGGAGGACGCCACCACGCTGCGAGACGAGTTCGACAGGCTCATCAGCGACATCATGGAGGCGGAAGACGGAGCTGGCCGGCAGCATCGGACAGCTGGACCAGCTCTTCAAGGTCGGTGCCGGCAGCTGCACTTGCTGCCGGTGCGTTGTCGCCTTACGAGGATGTCTGTTTCGTCTCTGATTGAGATCAGTCGTCGCCTGACGCGATCTCCCGATATGCACACAAACAATCCGTAATGTGGGCTGATTTTCAGGCCAAACCAGACGCTGGCTGAGGCGCTGGACGACATCGAGTCGAAGACCCAGGGCGATGGAGATTTGCTCTTCTCCGAGCTCAGTGAGAAGAAAACAGCACTGGAGAAGTGAGGAAAGAGTTGGTGTGGTGTTATCCGACTACGTACGCTTGCGTTCATCGCTTGATTATGGTTCTTTTTTATTATTTAGTTGGGTTTGTCTTAGCATCTTTTCTATGTCTTATTTTTGATCATATGATTCGGTTTATTATTTGTCATCTTTTTTTATTATCGTACCGTTGATTTCCGTATTGGATTGTGTTGAGTAACGGTCATTGTCTGAGGTTGGGGCTTTTTCAAGATTGTGGAACTCCCGGGCGAGCTAGCTCTAACACGGCCTGACCGTGCCAGGTACCGTGCGCTGTGGAGCGAGGTGCAGTCGCTGGTCGGCCAGGTGTCTCAGCTGCGCGCGGCCTCGGACGCGACGGCGAGCAGACGCTGCCGGAGGTGGTGCAGACGCTGCACAGACACGGGGCGCTGGCGGCGCGCGTGGAGGAGGCGATCCAGGTGAGGAGGACGTTGCCAGTCCCCGCATTTGCGCCGGTACCGGCGCTGGGCGCCGCCCGGAGTCTGTGGCGCCCCCCCCCCCCCCCCCAGCCCGGCTGACCGGGCAGTGAGGCTCAGGCTCCGTGTGACGGGCCTCTCCAATGTGGACTTGCGCAAATGGTCGCAAATGCTCTAGTTCACGGTTAGTTTTATTGTCGAGTGTTCGCGCTCTGTTGGACTTGGAAAAAACGTCTGCGTACCTGGATAATGTATCGGGACAGCAATATGTGCCAGCTAATGCAGCGTTCCAGTACTGATCCAAACCGTGGCTGTCCGTGCGTTGCGTTGGCTCTGGTGGCAGCTGGCCGGTTCGGTCTGATGTCTGACGTCACTGTGGGCGCGGGCGTCGGCGGCGATTACGCGCGCTCAGCCGGCGGCCGTCCGGCCTGACGCTCGCAGCGCGCCGGCGGCGGACTGAGCGGCGCCTCGCCCGCTGCCGCTAGGTGCTGGAGCAGCGTGCCACAGCACGAGCGCTACGCCGACGCGTACACGGCGGCGGGCCGGCTGGCTGAAGGAGGCGCGGCTGGCACTGCAGCAGGCGGCCGAGCCGCACGGCAGCTGGGAGCAGCTGCGCCAGCGGCTGGCGGTCGGCAGCGAGCTGGCCGACACCTGCCCACGCGGTACGGGCTGCCGTGCCGCCGGGGCTGCGCCGGCTGCTGCTCACAACACCACGGCTGTTGAACCATCCAGCATTGACTTAACATGCTCACAGAAGGATTGTTAGGCGTACTGTGCCGACACTGCATAATTTCGAGTGGGATTTCACTGTGTGATTGCGTGCGGTTGGCCGTCGTTGTGAGCAGGTGAATTGCGTGCGGTTGGCGTTTGTGAGCGGGTGATTGCGTGCGGTTGGCGTTTGTGAGCGGGTGATTGCGTGCCGGTCGGTCGTTTGTGAGCGGGTGTGTGTGCGCCGCCTCAGGTCGTGCGCTGGTGGAGGAGGTGGCGGCGCAGGGCGAGGCGCTGCAGGCCGTCTGCCCGGCCGACGGCCACCAGTTCGCTGGCCAGGGGACGTCCAAGCTCTGCAGGTGAGGAGCCGAGTCGGCCCCGGCCGTCACGGCAGCGTACGGCTGCTGAGCCGACACACCGTCGGCGGTCGGGTCGCTCGGACGGGCCGCTGGACCACGTCCTCACGCGGCTGCGTCCTCTGGTCTGACAGATGTGCGCATGCTTTGGTGGGCAGCTGCGGACGCTCCAGCGCTGACTGTTGTGAGGCGTGTCGTCAGAGGCGGAGTGGTGCGCCTGTGGGTCGGCGCCGTGACCGGTCGGACGCGGCGCCGATCTCGGTCGTCTGGCACGCGGCGGCGCTCCGCTGCCGGAGGTGCGCTTTCTGATCCGGCCGACGTATGGCTCTCGCCGCAGACGGAATATGAAGCGCTATGTAAGCTGTCATCGGCCAGCGAGTCGGCGCTCGCCAGGGGCGTGGCCGCCTGGTCCGAATTTACCGAACTGTACGACCAGCTGCAGTCGTGGCTGGCGGACGTGCGGGCGAGAGTGCCGGAGCTGCCGACAGATGGCAGTGCTGATGATTCGCAACTCAACGTCATCAAGGTGAGGGAGAAGGCTTTACACGCGCCACGCACCGAGCGTTTCATATCGCATCATATGATCCCGCTCAGTGCTGTCAAGCGTTTTGGCATATGACACGCATAACTATGCACGCCATCTGACCATTGTAACCAGGGGCTGTTTTGTGCAAACGTGCCGGGGGCAGTTTCGGTCCAGCATCAGCCTGTGAGGGCCAGGTGCCGTGGTCGGGCCGCTGGGGAGCGGGTCGCCAGCGGCGGTGGCGGCGGCGGGGGCTGCTGGCTAGGAGCAGCGTTTGGAGTGGGCCCCGGCGCGGGCCGTAGCTGTCTGAGCTGGTGCTCCTCGCTTCCCAGCGCTGTGGTGCGAGTGTCGGGGTGGGGCCGCAGCTGTCTGAGCGGGTACCCCTCGGCCCCAGGCGCTGTGGTGGCGAGGTGTCGGAGCGGCGCCGTCCGCTGGACCAGCTGGCAGATCGCTGCGAGACTCTGATCGAGCTGAGCGGACAGCTGGAGGTGCGCGAGCGGGCCGTCCAGCTGCAGACGGAACACGCCGCCCTGCTCGCACACTCCAGGTGCGTGCTACAATACCGCAGCGACTGCTGCCGTGTTTCCCAAGCCGATCCCGGAAATGTGGCGTTCCCCAGATTTGGTGTGCCTGAAGTGTTGGTCGTTGATTAAACTCGCGGCTTGAGATGTCCAAGCTCACGCAACGCACAGCGGAGCCAGGCATTGAACGCCCGCATACGACTCCACGTGGGGCGTAACTGTTGTTCATTCCTGGCCTTTTCGTGATCGGTCTCATGCGCTAGATCACTTGTGGACGCCTGCCGCAGTTTGAGCGGCCATGGCGTCTGCCTTCTGTTCAACAACCACTGCAGAGTGGTGGATGCGGGGGATCATTTTGGGGTGGCCGTTCCCGGTAATGATGGCGACCTCCCCCGACCAACACCCACTGGCTGCCCTGTCTGTGTTCCACTTTAGGTCTTGTGCGGTCGGGGTAACACGTGATGCGTAAGTCGCCTGATAATTACCGATATTTGGAAGTCTGCCTGGTGTAGGAACCAGCACCTGTCAAACATCTGTGCTTGTTGAATTTCTTTCGAATCAGACCAAATGTATTCCGCCATGAGATATGTACGAAATGCGAATCAGAAAATGAGAAATGGTGGCGGTACGTTTGAACACATAAATATGCATGTAAAGCGGGTGATGCTACAAGAATTCTCTACTCATTGAATGTATTTAGCACGGGGTAGTTAGTAAACGTCGGCGAAGCCCGCCTGCCCACCACCAGCCCGACGACGTGGGACAGCGGGCGGCGGGCAGGGATGGTGGACGTGGTTACCTTCACCGAAGGGCCGCCGGAGGTGGTGCTGTTTCCAGCTCATTGCTATTGCAGTGACTTACGACTAGAGATGTCACAATGGCGTCAGACCTAACTTTGCAATTGAGTGCGCTTTATGCTGCGACTCAGGCTCATGTAACGAGATAAATTCGGACGCAATAGTAAACCCACATGCTACCTTGGCACAGCCGAATGCGCTGCTCTTGCCGCCAAATATGTCAGTTCCAGTGTAGTGGGCCCCTACACCAGTAATGCCTGGGATGTTTCGTAACGCCATCGTTTGTCAAGACTACAGCTCTCAAATGCCGCGAAACGTCCATCACTTCAGTTCAGATTTGGTTGAAGCACGCTATCAGAACTTGAGTCAGAAAGGGCATTCATAGGCATACCGTGTATGCAACATCACCAGTGACAATAGCCAGGACATTTGGTTTCGAAATGATGTTCATGAACATGCAAACATGTTCAGATACATCTGCATGCCTGCGGATGAATCACACATGTCCCAACAAATCACAATGATCACAAAGCACAAATAAATGAATCAGACACAACGACACCACGTGCCCGTTTCGGTCGTGTGTGCTGCCATCGGCGCTGGTCGCCAGAGAGGTGCGTGTGTGGGGCCGCCAAGCTGAGCTGGCGCCGCGGCGGTGCCGGCAGGGCGGTCTGTCCCAGCTGGAGCGGCGCTGCCAGACCGAGCGCCAGGTGGCGGCGGCGCGCGCCAGCTGGCCGCTTGGCTGGAGCGCAACCGCGGCACCGTGGCTGACTGCGGCCAGCCGCAGCCGACCGTTTGACGCACTCAACGAGAACATGCAGCTGCTGACGGTGAGTGCCGCGGCGCGGCCGCCGCCGGCGTGGCCGGAGCTGCGCCGCGCGCCAATGACGCCCGTGTGGGGTGCGAACTAGGATGTGCCGGCCGCCGACGGGCAGCGACGCACTCGCGCGGCCGTCCACGTGTCAGGCTGGCTTCGCGTTCTGCGTCACTAACATGGCGCCACAGCGACGCGGCTTGCGTGCGGCTGCTGATCCGTCATTGTGTCGGTCTGCGTCTGCTTGTGATGCGCCTGGGCGCCGGCCGTACAGTGGTCCGACATCGCGCCTGTCGGGCAGGTGGTGTCGACGGCGCATGACCGAGGGCCAGCACTTGCTGGGCGTGCTACAGACGGCGTACGCGACGGCCTCAGAGAGCGGGCCCGAGCAGCGTCGACAGCAGCTGGCCGACGACCTCGGCCAGCTTGCGCGCGGCTGTACGACCAGCTGGCCGTCGAGCTGCAGCAGGTGCGTGGCTGGACCGTGTGCAGGCTGCTGGGCCAGGTCCAGGCTGCCGGGCCGGCCGGGTACGTACCACAGGCTGGGCCGGGCCGCGTTCTCCGTCACTGGCCGGGCCGACTGTGTGTTCTCATACGGTGGCTGAGCGGATAAGACAGTGCTGGATGTCACCTGTGCCGGTCTTACACAGCGAGTGTTGACGCGGTGAGCAATGGACGCCATCTCTGGAGAGTTCGCGGTGTAGGGTGCTAATCTTTTTCTCGGAAATAACATCATGCATGGAGTTATGGATCCGGCTGAGATGCGTTGTTGATGTCCGACAATAGGCTCACGGTAGCATCGTTCGCTTTGCTGCCCGCCGACGGCCGAGATGTCGGAGCTTGTGACTGCCTTGGGAGCGTGGGCCACGTCGTGTGACGGCGGCCGCGCCGTCTGCTGTGTGGTGCCGGCCACGCCTGCTGAGCCCGCTGCGTCTGCCGCCAGGCCACCAGCGGCGTGCAGTCGCGCCTGCACCGCTGGGAGGAGACGGCCGACACACTGGCCCAGCTGGAGCGCTGGCTGGCGGAGATGGTCGCCCGCCTGGACACCGCGCCAGAGACGTCCTCTGACCTCACCCAGGTCAAGGCCTGCCTGGAGAGGCTCACGGTACGTACCTGCTGCCATCCGCCGCTCAGAGCATTATCACCTTATGACGTTTTGCCTCACCCACGTCTTGGAGCTGGTAGGATGTTGACGCTCGTGTGACGATCTGGCTGACCGGGCACCAGCGATGCGTGCGGTGACGGCGCGGGCTGCTGCCCCGACGCCGACTGACTGCTGCTGCGGTCGGCGCCGGCAGGACGCACAGAAACGGCTCGAGTCGCGGCGACCCGAGCTGGAGCGGGCGCTGGCCGGACAGCCGGCAGCTGGCCGAGCCGGCCGACGGACAGACGCCGCTGCTGACGCGCGCCCAGACCCTGCTGGACGACTGGGAGGCGGCGCTGCAGCGGTGCCAGCGGCGCGGCGCCGACCTGCAGACGGAGGTCGAGGTGAGACAGGCCGGGCGGCGGCCGCTGCTGACGACCGGAACACGTCGGCAGCCGCTGCTGACAACCGGAGCACGCCGGCGGCCGCTGCTGACAACCGGAGCACGCCGGCGGCCGCTGCTGACGACCGGAGCACGCCGGCGGCCGCTGCTGACAACCGGAGCACGCCGGCGGCTGCTGGCCAACCAACGCTGCATTGTCGCGGTGTATCATGATGTTGTGCGCGCGGAGACATTCCAGAGCTAACTGATGGCTCTTCCAGGGAATTCAACGAATACAACCGAAGCCTCAACGA